CTAATTATATTTCACCTGACTGTCTATACTATAAGACTAAGATGTTTCTATGCCATAATACTAAAGATTAATAATAGAGAATAATGATTTACTAAGATTGATTATATAATTATGTGATTGTTTCTAAATATATTTGGTATCATTTCTATAACCAAGTAATCAGTAAACATATCACTGCTATAACTAAATAATCAGTAAATACATTTGGTATCATTGCTGTATCTAAGTCATCAGTTAATTATTATGCTGGGACGGATTGTGCCTTGTCTTTTGCCTTGGCACGTGGGCGACTTTCTTCCCACACTGTGGGGTTTTGTTTGTTTGTTTGTTTTTTGACTGTTTGCTGGCTTTGTTTCTGTTTTACTTTCTAGTTTCTGTCTGATTCTTGGCCAGGTCTGTTTCTGGCTTGGGTTCGGATTTGCAAACAGTGACTTAATGCCCTCTTCCATGAGGTTTTCATGATCTGACCACTAGGCGAACTCTGCCAGACAGCAGACTGAACAGGAATTTGGACGATTGTGGGTGGATTTTTGTTGTGGTGGTTGTTTTGCTTTGTGTGTTTTCCTTGGAGATCCCAATGTCTCCTGGCTCCTCAGTTTTGTCTTTATTGTTTATAGACAGTGTGAGCGCAAGTTACTCAATTAGAAAAGGGCTTTTTCTCTCCCTGGAGTGGAAAGCAGCCTTTGATACCTGTAGCTTAACCAACTGGTTAGTTTTGAGTTCTATGTTTTCGTTTATGATTTCTGGGCAAAGTTAATAAAACTGAAAAAGTTGGCTCTCTTTCTGTGTGTCTAAGTTTATTTATTTTTTTTGAGACGGGCCTCACTCACCTAGGGTGGAATGCAGTGGCACGATCATGGCTCACTGCGGCCTCAACCCTCCCCCCAACTATGCTCAAATGATCCTCCCACCTCAGCCTCCCAAGTAGCTGGGACTACAGGCACATGCCACCATGCCTGGCTAATTTTTGTATTTTTTTTTTTTTTTTTTTTTTTTGCAGAGACGGGGTTTCACCATATTGCCCATGCTAATATTGAACTCCTGAGCTCAAACAACCCTCCTGCCTCAGCCTCCCAAAGTGCTGGGATTACAGGTGTGAGCCACCACACCAGCCTGTGTGTCTAAATTTAAAAAGCCTTCCCCTTTCTTGCCAATAACAGATATTTGCCTTTTAGAATCATCTGTTCATACTCTCTCTGCCTCCCTCTCTCCCTCTCTGAGTCTTTGTTTAATATCTGTGATTCTCTTGGCTTTGCCCTTTGCTAATATCCTGGGGCCAGCAGCATCATGGCTGTTGAACTTTCAGGCAAAACATTCAGATACCGCTGGGTGTGGTGGCTCACCTGTAATTCCAGCACTTTGGGAGGCCAAGGAGGGTGGATTGCTTGAGCTCAGGAGTTCAAGACCAGCCTGGGCAACATGGTGAAAACCCATGTCTATAAAAAGTTAAAAATTAGCCAGTAGTAGTGATACGCTACTGTGGTCCCAGCTGTTTGGGAGACTGAGGTGGGAGGATCGCTTGAGCCCAGGAAGCAGAGGTTGCAGTGAGCCATGATCACACACTGCACTCTAGCCTGGGAGACATAGTGAGACTCTGTCTCAAAAAAATAAAAAATTCGGATACCACATTTGAAGGAGAAAATAGGGGCCTTTTTTCTTGCCTGAATGTTAGATACAGGAAATCTTTTCCAGAAATGCCATCAGATTTTCACTCAGGTTTTATGGTTAGAATTGAATCATGAGCTTGGGTAACATAGTGAGACTCTGTCTCTAATATATATATATATATATTAAATAGAATTGAGTCATACCTGTCCATGCCTATGTAGGCCCCTGACAAGGAAAATGAGATTCTCATGACTGGCTAAAATAAGTCATTTGGGGTGAAAGGAATGTTGGGGAGCTAGCCACAATGACCACCATTTATCCTACAATAAAAAGAGAATTGGGGCCAGGCATGGTGGCTCAGGTCTGTCATCTTGGCACTTTGGAAGGCTGAGGCGGGTGGATCACCTGAAGTTAGGAGTTCAAGACCAGACTGACCAAAATGGAGAAACTCCCGTCTCTACTAAAAATACAAAATTAGCTGGGCATGGTGGCACATGCCTGTAGTCCCAGCTCCTCAGGAAGTATGGTAGGAGAATTGCTTGGCCAGGGAGATTGAAGCTGCTGTGAGCAGAGATCACACCATTGCACTCTAGCCTAGGTGACAGAGACAGACCCTGTCTCAAAAAAAAAAAAAAAAAAATCGGATAAAATTTAACTTTGATACATTCTTTTAATAATATCTTTCGGCAAATTAAGAGCCACATATGAACATAATTATGACAATCAAGCATCAATAACAAATTCACCATATCCCTAGTCCCAACAGTCTCCCATTCCCCTAGATGAGTACTGATTAGACTAGGGATAAGACAGTATTTTATTTTATTTCATTTATGTTTTGAGACAGAGTTTTGCTCTTGTTGCCCAGGCTGGAGTGCAATGGTACAATCTTGGCTCACCGCAACCTCCGCCTCCAAGCTCAAGTGATTCTCCTGCCTCAGACTCTGAAGTAGCTGGGATTACAGGCATGTGCCACTGTGCCTGGCTAATTTTTATATTTTTAGCAGACACGGGTTTTCTCCATGTTGGTCAGGCTGGTCTTGAACTCCTGACCTCAGATGACCCACCCACCTCGGCCTCCCTAGAAGACAGCATTTTAATGAGGTGCATTCTTTCTGAATAAATTTGCAGATATAATGCAATGCCAATCAAAATCCCAACACTTTCCAAGTAACAGAGTTCTTTTTTTAAAAAATTGTTTTTTGTTTGTTACTGAGATAGAGTCTCACTCTGCTGCCCAGACTGGAGTGCAGTAGTGCAATCACAGCTCACTGCAATCTCAAACCCCGAGGCTCAGTCAGTCCTGTCAACTCAGCCTCCCAGAGTGCTGGGGCCACAGGTGTGTGCTACCATGCTCAGCCAACCACACATTGTTTTAAAAAATATTTATCAGCTAATAGAACTACTTCTCTTCTCCTTACTTTTCTTTTTCAGAATTTTTGTTATATCTTTTCCTGTTTACACTATCAATTACTTTTAGCATAATTCTATTAAATTTTAAAAGAACAGAATAAACAAAAGTGAACTAAATCCTAATATGTTAATTGAAAATAAATTTTCCTGCTCTACTCTTTGGGAGGAGGTCGCTGTGTACAATCCACCTTTAAGGAGTGAGGTGTTATGCTTTGCATCACAAGGAGTTTTTATTTTTTGTTGCTATTGTGAAAGATTTCTTCTTTTAATATTTTCATATATGTTATTACCAAAGAAAGGACTGTTGAAGAACTTCTATGTGCAATTTTATTAAACCCCTTTATCAATTCTATTAGCTTTTGTTCACATTTTATTTCTTGGATTTGTCTGGATTTTTTTTTTTTTTTTAGGAGATGGGATCTCACTATGTTGCCTAGGCTGGTCTCAAAATTCTGGATTCAAGTGATCCTCCCGCCTTGGCCTTCCAAAGTGTTGGGATTACAGGAGTGAGCCACTGTGCCTGGTGCAGTCTGGCAATTTCTACTGTGAGTAATCCCTTTGCCTTTTCTTTCCTAATATACGTTACATTTCTGTTTCCTGTCTTATTACATCAGTCAGGACTTCCAGAGGACTACCAAAGAACAGCAGTGACCAGAGATCTAGCGAATATCCTTGGGTATTTGTTGAGACTCTCAGTTCTTTCGGGAAACTTCTCTATTCCGTATGTGCAGTTCTGGTGGGATGAGACTGGTCACAGATAGCACCCACCCCCATAGGGACAAAGCTGGGTGCATGGTCCAGAGCCAGCCAAGCATAAGACCCTATTTTCCCACCCAGGGCGACTGTTTCAGAGGTGGGCAAGAAAACTAGCAGAGCCAATCAGGTATTCTCCCAGTTTTTTTGTTGGTTAGTTTGGAGCCAGAAGAGAAGAGGGTAGGGCCTTACTTTCTGGTGTACCAGATGAAAGATAGGAATGAGGGTATCGGAGGCCACTGTCACCTGCACAGGAAGAGAAAGGCTGCCTGCAGAGGAGGGAGAGAAACCATATAAAGAACCCCAAGGGGCTAGGAGAATGGAAGAGAGGGACAGAGATAGGGAGAGGGACAGCATGAATAATCTTGTTTTTAAATCCCGGAATCCAAACTTCCTGATTATGTGAGCCAAAGAATTTGTTTTCCGTTTTCTCTACTTATATTGGATCACTTACAACAGAAGGAATTTGGATTATTACAAAATTATTCATGTCCTGGTAACTGACACTTACTAGGTAATGGCCGGTGCCAAGCTGAGGGCAGGTGGCACTGACTCGGGTCCTCTGCCCAGGCAACCCCAATCTTCACAGCTGGTGACGAGATGTTATTTCACCTTTGCATATGAGGAAACTGAGACTCTGGGAGGCAAGCGTGCTCCCTGCGCCCTTCTGAGCCCCAGCCTCTCATCCTCCCATTGCAGACTGGATAAACTTCCAACACGACCAATAGGTGCCAACTGGCTACTTGGTAAATGGGAACATGTTGCTCTGTCCTGGTAGGTTCTAAGTTCTCTAATGGAACAACCGATGAGAGGAGAGGAGTATGCAACATCCAAACCAGTATCAAAGAGTGTACCCAACTCAATCTGCACAACAAATGCGCCCAACCCGTATACCCCGCATGCTGCTAAGCGAGTCATGGCTGGAGGCCTCGGGATCCTTCCATGCCAAGGCATTCAGAACCTGAAAGCCCCAGGAGAGGCGCGGAGCGGGGGTGAGCCCTAGCGTCCGAGACTTGGAGGACCCAGCCGCCGGAGCGCGATCCGTTAGTTTCCAACAGAGCTTTTTCAAACTTTGCCTTCCAAGTACAGGAGTTCCTTGGTTTTTGCAACACCCGCAGGCGTCCGCAGTGGTGCAGAGAGAGCTGCAAGGGGCGCGCCCAAGGTAGTAGACTGCCGCCCTGGGGCGCACTCAGTCGGGCCCCAGGTTGCCAGGCGCGGGGAGGGCTCTGGGCGGGCGGCAGGGGCGGGGACTGCAGAGCAGGCTGCGCTACGCGGTCCCTACAGCAGGCCTCCGCGCTCCCCGGCCGCAGCGCGCCTGGCACATGGAGGCTCCCGAGGAGCCCGCGCCAGCGCGCGGAGACCCGGAGACCACCCTTGAGCTCCGCGAGCCTCGCCGCCTGCGGCTGTCCGACTTCCGAGAGGAGCTGCGGGCGCTCTTGGTCCTAGCGGCCCCAGCGGTGAGTAGGGGTGGCCTCGGTGGGAGGCCGGTCCCGGTGGACTGGGGGCCTGGTGACTCCCGTCGCCGCAGGTGGCTTGGTGGGGTTTGAGGACAGAGTGAGCTGGCTGCGGGCGGGCACTGGGGAGCATCCTGCCGGGAGCCAGTCGGGCACCCCCGCTCCTCCTCCTGCGTCCCGGCCGCCCTCCGTTCCGCACCGCACGACTGGGGACCCCGCGCGGCACTGCGGGCATGGCTGGCACGCGCCCGGGCACACGTTGGCTCGGAGATGCCGGCGACTCCCACCTCCTGCGCCTGGAGCCACCGGGGAGCCGGGATATTTGCACCCAACGGGGCTCAGTCAGGTCCAGGCTGCAGTTGGACCCGCGGGTGCCTTCCCTGGGAGCTGATTCCAGCCAACGAAGCTCAATTTGCATGAACCTCAAAACACGAGGGAACTTGTTTCTTTGAAAAGTAGCGGTAAAAACTAAGGGAGCTCAGCGATCTAAATAATCCCGAGGCACGGAGAAGGGGGTGCGTGGTCTGTCGTAGACTTAGAGCTGCGAAACGATTTTTTCGGAATCCAGTCAACCTCTACGGAGGAGACCAGAGACGTCCTGTTCCACCTGCTCCCCCCAATCGTTATATATGTGAGAGAAAAACGGCGTTTTAATGTGGTTCTTGTGGGGCCGAGGTGTTCTTATCTGTGGGATTCTTTTCTTTTTAATCATTAGGTTAGGGCTGTTTCTGCCTTGTCTCCTAAAAGTAATGTGGTTTTAAAAACCATAAAAATTTAATCCTATCCACGTTCCCCTGCCAGCTTGGTGGTTTTGAAACCGAAGCGTAGGAGAGCCACTTCGCTGCACAAGCAGCAGCCGATGCGCACTTAAGGCGTGAATAAGCTTTTGGCTTTGAGGCTGAGATTCTGCAATTGTGCAGGCCGGGGCGCCGCTGCGCCCCTGGAGTGGGCTTGGTGGTGTGTGGGATATTGTGACACCTGCTGTGGTGCGCAGGACAGCAAGAGAAATGCGGAGGTCAAAGCCGTGGAATGAAGATCCATCAGCGATGCTTTCTCACAGACCGCAAAGAACTGGATGTGGGACCAGGCGCGGTGGTTCAGCCTGTAATCCCAGCACTTTGGGAGGCACAGGCGAGTGGATCACACGAGGTCAGGAGTTCAAGACCATCCTGGCCAACATGGTGAAACACCATCTCTACTAAAAATACAAAAATCAGCTGAATGTGGTGGCAGGTGCCTGTATCCCAGCTACTCCAGAGGCTGAGGCTTGAAAATCGCTTGTACCTGGGAGGTGGAGGTTGCAATGAACTGAGATCATGCCACTGCACTCCAGCCTGGATGACAGAGGAAGACTTGGTCTCAAAACAAAACAAAACAACCTCATGATTTGGAATCTCAAGACCTGGGCCTGCATGCCCTGCTTTGACCTCCGAAGGTTAAGTCAGGAAGCAGCTGTGCGGATTGGAACAGCCTCTTAACCTTTTCTGGTCTTTGCATATTCATCTGTAAAATGGGGATAATAATCGGGTCTTGTCCCAACACTCCTTCACAGAGCTGCTGTGAGAAGTGGCTTTCTAAGGCTTTTATTGCTTTATTATTATTATTATTATTATTTTTGAGACAGGGTCTTGCTCTGTCAGCCAGGCTGCAGTGCAGTAGTGCGATCACAGCTCACTGCAACTTTCCAAGTAGCGGAGACTACAGGCACATGCCATCATGCCTGGCTAATTTTTGTATTTGGGGTTAGCGATAGGGTCTGCCTGTGTTGCCCAGGCTGATCTTGAATTCCTGGGCTCAAGCGATCCTCCTGCCTCTGCCTCCCAAGAGTTGGGATTATAAGTATGAGCCACCTTGCCCAGCCTGTTATTGCTTTAATAGTACAGCAATAATAATAATAATAGTAACAGGGCGGCTTTCTGAAACCCCTCCCAGTAGCCTGATCTCCTTGATGTGGGGGACCTCTCCAGGTCTCCACGGATGACCACAAGACTGACCTGCCAGGGACCTCGCCTTTTCTCTTTGTGTGTACATACATGTGTATATGATTGTGTTGACTACAGATGTCACGCCTATTCCCTGTAGAAAAAATACAGAAAACCAAGACCAACAAAAGAAAAAAAAACCCTCTGAAATCTCACCACTGAGAGGTAATTTAGAAACTTTCCTTCGAGTCCTTTGTGTGTGTGTCTCTGCTTTGTGAAAATGTGGAGAGCTTTGCCACCTGTTCAGTCTCTCATGAAGTGTATGTGGACTCCCCTGGGTCTGTCTCCCATCTCCAATCCCATCTGCTATAAAGTTTTGTTTCCCAAGGGGCACGGGATAAGGAGAGAGCACCCCCTTCTTTTCCTATGCTCATTGTCCAGTACTGTCTTCTCCAAGTCTCCAATGTAACACAAGGAACATGCCCTGTCTGGCTCTCCCCTCCCCGCTGTAATTTTCTCTCTCATTTGCCCTCTCGCTTCCAGATCTCTCAAGTTAACCCTGACCCTTGAGGTCTCCCACTGGGCTTTAAAAGAGGCCTTTGTTGTTGTTGTTGTTTGTTGTTTTTGAGATGGAGTCTCACTCTGTTGTCCAGGCTGCAGTTCAGTGGTGTGATCTCAGCTCACTGCAACCTCTGCCTCCCGGGTTCAAGCAATTCTCCTGCCTCAGCCTCTGGAGTAGTTGGGATTACAGGTGCCCACCACCACGCCCAGCTAATTTTTGTAGTTTTAGTAGAGATGGGGTTTCATCATGTTGGTCAGGCTGGTTTCAAACTCCTGACCTCGTGATCCGCCCACCTAGGGCTTCCAAAGTGCTGGAATTATAGGTGTGAGCCACCCTGCCCCACCCTAAATGAGGTCTTTGTAAAGAGAATAACCCATAGCACAAAGGAAAGTGTGAGCTGAATGGTGCTTACTTCTCAAAAGCTCCATCCATTTTATCCTGGAGAAAGTTTGAGGAAGCCTGGATTTGCAAGGGAGAGAATGTGCAGACACCTGGCCTCAGGCACTCCAGCTGTGCCTCCTCTTTGTCAACAGCCTCTCATGGCCTGGTGGAATCGAAACTGGCAACATTTCTGAAAAATAACCCCAAAGACGGACCCCCAGGCATTGCCCAGGATGTAACAGAGGTGGGATAGCCTAGGCTCCAACTCAAAGAAATGTTTCCACTTGTGTGGGAAGAAGCTGGCAGGCTTTCTATGGCTGCAGAGCAGAAATATCAGAGCAGGCAGGCAGGTTGAGGGAGTGAGGTGGAGGATCTGAGAGACGCGCTTTACTCAGGATGCGCAACGGAGAAAATGCAGGCTGACCTTTTGGATTGTATCCTGCAGGCAATGGGGAAGATATTGATCAGGAAGTAGTTACTAACACCAGATTCTGCAGGAGAAGCCTGGTTGGAGACAGACAGGCCTAGGCCTAAGGAGGAGAAGACCTTCAGGGAAGGTGGCTCCTCCCATTCAATGGTTGTGAGGAAGTAGTCAAAGATGGCAGGAGCTGGAAAGAGGAAAGCTGGGTGGGTCCAGCCCCCACTGCCTCTACTCCCCATTTCTTCCTCTAATCCATCCTCACCAAGGCCTTTGGCTTTAGCTCCTTAAATATCTCTCAGAGGGATCCACTTTTTTATATCCCCGCTGTCATGCACCACATGGAGCCACGAGTTCTTTTCAAATGGTCATCTGAGCTTGTGCCTCCTGCTCAGAACCATTTCCTTGGTCTTGTAAGGCCCTCTATGGCCTGGCCCTGGCCAGCCCTCCAGCCTCATCTCTGGTCCCCATCTCCTGGCCATATCCTCCACCCAGCCTCCTTTCAGTGCCTCCGCCTGGGAAGTCCTCCCCGGCAGACAAGTCTCCTGCCCCTGCCTATCTGACATTAACTTGTTCATCATGCAGGTTTCAGCTCCACTTCATTTCCCCCAGGAAGCTTCTCTGACTCCCCTGCTGCACCCCACAGCTCATCACGCACATGTCTTGAGCTGTGTTATTTATTGCATTTTGAACGTCTTTCCCTACTCTACAGATGCTCCTTGGCTTATGATGGGGTTATGTGCACCGAAAGGATGAGATCATGGATTGTGAAAGTCCTGACTTGCGTGGATGGCCGTGATGGGCTTGCCATCCCATGCTGGCCAATTATCTCGAGTTCCATCACAAGAGTCATAGCTGCCTTCTTTTCTCCAGAAGCAGGAGACACAGATGGCCGTTTTGTAGTCATGACGGGATGTGTGAAAACACAAAACAAAATACCAAAAAATACTGGCAACACATTCCACTGCAGAGTGTCAGCTGCCTGCCCTCATGACGGCAGGGCTGATGGGGAGCTGTGGCCCACTGTCCTGACCGGTACTGCAAGTCTGAGACTACACGTCACTAGCCCAGGAAAACATCAATATTCCAAATTCCAAGTATGGTTTCTACAGAACGTACATTGCTTTTGCACCATTGCAAAGTTGAAAAATCATTAAGTTGGGACCGTCTGTACTGTGGGTCCCACAGGGCAGGAGTGGAGCAGTGGTGTCTAACTCACACCTGTCCCCCCAGTGCTTGGATGTACTTTGTGCTCCAAAGACAGTGGCGGTAAGTAACCATCTGAGTTGAGACTGAGAGTCACGTGGCTGGGCTCGTTGCGAAAATTCCCAGGCTGTGCTTCCTCACATGTAAAAGAAAGGCGGGGGCTACCGCAGGTGACCTCTCAGCTTCCTTCCGGTGAGTGAACTTTCAGCAGTCATGGGAGGGAGTGGGAGAAGCTGTCTGGAGGTGCCTTGCCCTGGAGAGAACCCTCTAAAGCTGCCAGGTGCTGAAGGTTTTTTTATCTGGCTGCCAAGTTTGCTTATTGTTGTCTGGCCAAAATCTGAGCAGGGTCGCAGTTGACAAGAAGGGATGGAAGCACAGTCAGTCTGAAGGGTCTGCTCACTGCAGCCTCAAACTCCTGAGCTCAAGTGATCCTTCCTGCGTCAGCCTCCTGAGTGGCTGGGATCGCAGGTGCGTGCCACCACACATGCTATTTTCGGTACTTTTTTTGTAGAGATGAGGTCACTACAAAACGTTGCCTGGGCTGGTCTCGAACTCTGGGGCTCAAGCAGTCCTCCTGCCTCAGCCTCCCAAAGTGTTGCAATTGCAGGCACGAGCCATCGTGCCCGGCCTACTCTGGCAATTCCTGTCATCCATTCGGCTCTGTCCAAGCCACTGCCAGTTCAGGCTGTTCTTCAGACAGCAGCTGCTGAGACAGCTAGTGGAATAGGCCTTTGTTCAGAATTGGTTCATTCCCTGGGTGCATAAATGCGCTCTGTGACAGCACAGTCCCAGAGGGTCTGGAGCACACTCAAAATGTGATAGGCCAGGGCACAAGCACCTAGCTTGGGTGTGTGTAAGGGAGCATGGGGATATGTTGAAATGAAGATTCCTCAGCCCCACCAAAATCCTGGGTTGTTTTTTTGTTTTTTTTGAAACAGAGTCTCTATTGGTGGCCCAGGCTGGAGTGAAGCGGTGCAATCTCGGTTCACTGCAACTTCTGCCTCCAGGGTTCAAATGATTCTCCTGCCTCAGCCTCCCAAGTAGCTGGGATTACAGCCACGTACTACAGCACCCAGCTAATTTTTTGTATTTTTGGTAGAGATGGGGCTTTGCCATGTTGGCCAGACTGGTCTTGAAATTTTGACCTCAGGCGATCCACCTGCCTTGGCTTCCCAAAGTGCTGGGATTACAGGTGTAAGCCACTGAGTCCTTTCAAGCGTGAGCCACTGAGCCCGGCCTAGCCTCCTGGGTCTTGCGATAGGCCAGGGCACAAGCTCCCAGATGACCTTTATGTACATGATTCACAGTCTGTGGCCAAGCATTTACCCAAAGGGCTTGAAACCAGGATCTGAGAAGAGCTTAGCAAATCTGGACTCAAACCGAGATCCCAGGCACAGAAGTTCAGGATGGTCTGGCTGCATCAGGCTGCCTGACACAGGCAGTCGGAGCACATGGTTGTTGCCGTAACCCCCGCAGAGCCACAGTGGCTCTCAAAAAAAGTTTTTGCTGGTATTGACACTGAAGGTGCATCTCACCTGGATTAGTTTAGCTTAGCTCAACTTCTTGGCCCTTTGTATCCAAGACATCTAATGATTCTCACCCTTGGACCAGCCCTCACCCAAGTGAGAAAGATGTTCAGGGCAATGCAATTTGTGATGGCAAAATTTGGGAGGGACTCCAAAGGCTGGGCAGTAGGGGAGACTGAGGACGTTTCCAAACAAAGCCATGAGAAACAGCTCACAGGTGGCCCACAGGGAGGCAGGGAACCCTGGAGTGGAAACATGATGTTCCATGGGGAAGGAGAAGACAGATTCTGTGAACACAACTGCTTGTGACAGATAATGTGCAAAGGCTTAAAGCGCCGTAAGCTGAAAAGATTTGGAAGTGATGCGGAGTTCACACATAGAAAGGACCCTGTGGCCTTTAAAGGTACATGAATTCACAATTGAAACAGACACCAAGCTAAACCTAATGAAACCACAGGGGACATCTGTAAGGGTGGTGACAACCTTAATCATGTGTCACTGTTGCTGGTACAGGCCTACGGGACGTCCACTGGCTCTAGCTTTAGATTCTACAGCATCTGGTTCTTCATGTCAGCCTTTTTGATTGACACTTCCACCCCACCCCCTTTTTATTCCCATCTTCAGTCTTATTTTGGATTACTCACACAGGACATTGCAAAAGTGCTCCTCCTGCTCAGTAGCCGGGGTCTGTTGGGGATTACATTCACGCTTGGCTTCTGTGGTAGTGAGAGAGGTGCCTGGGTCATGTAGAAGTTGATAAAAGAAAGATACATCTGCTACCCATCCCTACCCCTCCCCCACTCACATACACACGGTTAAGAACAGGCTTTGCATGCTTTGAAGGTCTGGGCCCATCACAGGAGTTGAAAATGGTCTCTCCCTAGGTGTGGATTCTGGGGAAGAAAAGAGGGAGATGATCGGAACCATCATGGCTCAGGGGCTTGAATTTGGGGGTGGTTGCAGAGCTGGCAGATGGGCTGTGTGTGAGCCTGGTGGAGGTCAGCTCTAGAAGCTAAGTCACTGGAGCCCTAGGAAGAGGGACTTTTCTGTGGGCTCAGCACAGCGGAGTCTGTACTCCTTGAGGGCGGTGAGAGGCGGCCTTGCAGCTGGACCAGCAGCAAGCATCACCAACTCTGGGGCATCAGCTTCAGTGAGGGCCCCATGGGGTAGATGTAGGCAGCAGTGGCAGCAGCAAGTCCTTAGGCACCCAGTCTCTCCTCCTAGGGAGCAGGGGTCATGTGAACCCCCGCTTCTGGGCCACATAGCCTGCCAGGGGAGAGGGGCTTCCCCAAGAGAGATACTGGACTGCCTGGGTCTGGTGGGTGGGGCGCAGGAGGTGATTTTATGTTAACCTCCAGAAATAAGCTTGTTATCCAACCGTGCACTGAAAGCGCTGTGGAGAAATTCATAGAATTGCCCGCTGGAATTTTGAGGAAGAAATGGCTCAATATTCCAGAACTTGCCTTCACATCTGAGGCTTCCTAGAATGCAAAGTGCTCGGTGGGCCTCTTCTGTTTCCCCCTGAGAATCCCGAGTCCACCGGCACTCCAGGTGGACGATCTCATCGCTCCCTCCGGCTCCTCCTGTCTGCGGACTTCCTGGCTGGAATGGGTTCTTGCTGTTGGATCCTGTATTCTCTCCAGTCCATACTAGGAATCTTGGATAACAAGGGGGTTATCCCAGAAGGCAGCCTCTGCAGATTTCAGAGGAAACTTAATGTGCTCCATGGCTTAAGAAACTGAAGTGAAAAACCAAAAAGGCTGGGAAGTTCTCAAAAAAGTGATTCTGACCCTGTGGTTGCAAATAAATGTTTTGAGATTTCAAGATGCCCCCCACCCCCAGCCCCCAGAAATTGTACATTTGCCTGTGAAGGGTGGCAGAGGCTCACTGAAGCTGGGTTTCTTTCCTTCTGACTGGAGTCGTCGGGTCGGGGTCACCCCTGGGACCCCAGACTTTCCTGCGATGGTGGGCACTCACCTCCCTTCCCATTCCCCTCTCTTCCCAGTTCTTGGTTCAGCTGATGGTGTTCCTGATCAGCTTCATAAGCTCCGTGTTCTGTGGCCACCTGGGCAAGCTGGAGCTGGACGCGGTCACGCTGGCAATCGCGGTAAGTGGTGGGTTTTCTGGCAGGTTTACCAACGCTGTCTGTGTTTGTCTCCTGCTGCTGCTATAACAAATCACCAAAATGTCATGGCTGAAACCTTCACAGACTTATTCTCTTACAGTGCTGGAGGGCAGAAGTCTGGAGTGGGTTTCATGGGCTAAAATCAAGGTGCTGCAACTTTAATTCCCTTTTGCTGTATAACCTTGAAGATTCCTAGGTTCTGGGGATTAGGATGGGAACATCTTAGGGGACATTATTCTGTCTACCACATCATCTCATTTCTGTTTTTTGTTTTACTTTATTTATTTATTTATTTATTTTTGAGATGAAGTCTTGCTCTGTCGCCAGGCTGGAGTGCAGTGGCGTTATCTCAGCTCACTGCAACCTCTGTCTCCCGGTTCAAACGATTCTCTTGCTTCAGCCTACCAAGTAGCTGGGGTTACAGGTGTGCACCACCACACTTGGCTAATTTTTGTATTTTTAGTAGAGTCAGGATTTCACCATGTCGTCCAGGCTGGTCTCAAACGCCTGAGTGCAAACAATCCCCCTGCCTTGGCCTCCCAAAGTACTAGGATTACAGGCATGAGCCACTGTGCCCGGCCATCATCTTATTTCTGATTCATGGTGCTCTGATTCCCACTCTTGGTCCCACAGTTTGGGGAAGGGAACAGTAAAAGGGGAGTTCAAGTCTGACCTCCTCAGGAGGAAGTAACGCCCCCCATGCCCCCCACTCAGTTGTCTGTCTTACTGAGAATCCTAATCTAGAAATGGGTCTGGAAGGCGAAAGTCTAGATCTTTGTGTCCAAATTTAAAATTGAGAGGATCTCCAAATCCTCTCCGTATTGTAGATTCAAACCCCCAAAACCAGAGACATATCATCCATCTCAGCCAGGTATTGTCAACTGGCCATGTGAGGCTGAAGGGTTTGGTTTGTCTAGTTTGGGTGTTTCTACAAAAGTGGATTCAATGGCTCTTTGGTGGATGCATGTTCCCCTTTGCTCCGGCCCTGATGGGGACACACTTGCACTTATCTGCCTGGTCTCACCAGGCATTTACATTTGCTACCTGTGAACTATGCAAGACTGCTGGGAATTAGTCACCAAATGTAGGTGGAACTAGCTATGAGTACATATGGCTTATTTTATTTTGGCTTTAGGGGGCAACATGGACAACCCTAGGCTTAATTATCCATTGTTGTCTTTTTAATTCAGAGTCTTGCTCTGTCACCCAGGCTGGAGCACAGTGGCATGATCTCAGCTCACTGCAACCTCTACCTCTTGGGTTCAAGCAATTCTCCCTGCCTCAGCCTCCTGAGTAGCTGGGATTACAGGTGACTGCTACCTTGCCCAGCTAATGTTTGTGTTTCTCTCTATATATATATGTTTTCACCTTGTTGGCCAGGCTGTTCTAGAACTCCTGACCTCAAGTGATCTTTGGAAGACCTCGGCCTTCCAAAGTGCTGGGATTACAAGGGCGAGCCACTGCGCCCAGCGCCCCATTTTGTTTTTAAGTATTGTATTTGCAATAGAAGGGAAGACAGAAATGCACTTAGCAAGCCTCAGCAGATATTCTTTGGCCAAGGAATTACAGGATGTGGCCAAAGACTTATCAAAGTCAGGGCTTCCAGGCTGGGTGCGGTTTGGGCTGTTGCCCACGGGTTCCCTGCTGTAGAATCAGGTGGAGGTACCAGGTTCCAGATGGGGTATGCATCAGACATCCTGTGATACCACTCCCTGGTTTGGGGCACTGCCCTGGGCTCCCCGAAGCTTCAGGGTTTACTGCTGACCCTGGTGAAGGTGAGCATATCTGGAAAGGCTCTGGCACTAACCTGGACTTCCAACTGCCTCTGCACTCCCAGTGCCTTCCAAGGTACAGACTCAGGCCATGCTAGGTCTCCAGTAGGTGGACTCTTCTGCGCTACTGTGTCATTGCATTCCAGTAAGAAGTGTCCCTGATCCCTGAAATTGGAGAGCAAAATGACTTTTAAAAAGAGAAAGTCTGGGTAATCACCTCTGGCCTAGACTTTTCTTCCCCTTCCAAGCTTGTGCATGTCCTTTAACCTAGCCAAATCTTACAGCCATAATAGGTTTGTCGCCTTGCTCATGGCAAGTCAATATGCCAAGATGCCAGGTTGCGACAGTGAAAGAGGTTTAATTGTAAGGCCACTGAATGAGGAAACCTCAAATCTGTCTCCCTCGAAGAGTTTGGGGCTAGGGTTTTTAAGGGTTTTTGAATGGGCTGAAGTGTGATTGTTTATTGGTTGAAGAGTGTAGCGTGAAGTCATGCGACAGGGAGGTGAAGAAACTGTTCTCATGCTGATTCGGTTCCTTTATGGGGTCTTGAAACTGGTTGGTACAGTGGTGTAATCTCGGTTCACTGTAACCTCTGCTTCTTGGGTTCAAGTGATCCTCCTATCTCAGCCTCCAAAAATAGCTGGGACTACAGGAGCATGCCACCATGCCTGCTGGTTTTTGTACTTTTTGTAGAGATGAGATTTCATCATGCTGCCTAGGCTGGTCTTGAACTCCTGGGTTCAAGTGATCCTTCCACCTTGGCCTCCCAAAGTGCAGGGATTACAGGCATGAGCCACCGCCCTGGGTCAACAATTCTTAAACAATAGCCTTGTGATTGTAACACCAGAAATCCCATCTGTAGGGACAACGGGGATGCATATGGTCAGTGTCTGGTGCCATGTGACTTTCAGTTATAAGGAGGTGGGTCAAAGTGCAGCCTGATGAATACTCTAGTCCCGCCCAGAATTTTTGTTAAAACTGTGAGAATGACTTCAGTCTGACTGGGGGCCCAGGCAGCTAACAGAGTTGATAAAATTGCCTTGTGAATGCTGAAGGAGGAGCTTTGCAGGCTCTGATCAACACGCACAGATTTAGTCTTCCTTTCCTTAACTCTACAGGTACTCATCTCTGGGTTTGTTTACAGGTTATCAATGTCACTGGTGTCTCGGTGGGATTTGGCTTATCTTCTGCTTGTGACACCCTCATCTCCCAGGTAAATGAAAGTGGCCACACGCTCACAGTGACCTCAGACACCTTTTCTCCAGTGTAGATGGCAGAGCCCCACTGGCAACAAGAGCCCAGCAGCAGCACCTGCGGTGTCTGTCGGCCAGCAACTCGGCTTCTCCTGGCCTGCTTTCTTTGAAATGTCACTGGGTTTCTTTCAGCCTTGTGAACTAGTGTTTGTCTGCACGACTGTCTTATACTATATTTTGAACAAATACGGGGCATTTGTAAAATTCCCCTCTATCGCTCCCCACGTGTTTGGTTTGAATTTAGTATAGTTCTGTGGTTCTCTAAATTGAGCGTGCATCAGAATCACTTGGAAGACTTGTTAAAACCCAGCTTGCCTGTCCCCACCCAGTGGCAGGCTGGTAAATGTTCAGCAACGAAGTCTTGGGGGAAAGGGAGAGGAGGGAAACATGTGACTGTCTGTGTTCGCTGATTCCAGGTGTGTAAGTATTTTCTCTGGTTAATTTCAACCTATCAGAGATGTCACTGAACATGGAGCTGGGGGAGATGTGCACAACTTGAAAAGATGTGCAAAATTTGGCTTGTTTTGTTTGGAGACAGAGTCTTGCTCTGTCACCCAGGCTAGGCTGCAGTGGCACACCCAGAGCTCACTGCAGCCTCGAACTCCTGAGCTCTAGCTATCCTCTTGCCTCAGCCTCTCAAGTAGCTGGGACTACAGGCATGCACCACTACACCCAACTAATTTTTTGTTGAGATGGGGTTTTGCCATGTTGCATAGGCTGGTCTCAAACTCCTGGGCTCAAGCAATCCTCCTGCCTCAGCCTCCCAAAATGCTGGGATTACAGGCCTGACACACAATGCTCAGCCTGGCTTCTGTTCTTAATTTGAAAAAAAAGTTTTTCAGTCTCTGAAAACAAATGAAGTGTGAATTTCAGATTGTTTACCTCTGAAAAAAGAAAAATTGTTTTAAATAGATTTTTTTTTTTAAAAAAAAGGTACAGATCTCTGAATCGCCCTGGATGAATTAAGTCCAGAATGTCATTAGGGAGACCCTGGCATCGGGGTTTTGAAAATGTTCCCCTGGTGATGCTACTGGAAGCTGAGTTTGAGAAGCACATTTCACATCATCTTTCTCTGACCTAAACACTGGGGCAAAGCCTCTAGGGGCATGGCTCGTTCTCAGCTCACTGCAACCTCTGCCTCCCGGGGTTCAAGCAATTTTCTTGCCTCAGACTCCCAAGTAGCTGGGATTACAGGTGTGTGCCACCATGCCCGGTTAGTTTTTGTGTTTTTAGTAGAGACAGGGTTTCGCCATGTTGGCCAGGCTTGTCTTAAACTCCTGGCCTCAAGTGATCCTCTCGTCTCAGCCTCCCAAAGTGCTGGGATTACAGGCCTGAGCCACCTTGCTTAGTCAACCTGCTTCTTCTTTGTTTTCTTTTCTTTTTCTATTTATTTATTTATTTATTTTGAGTCTTGCTGGAGTGCAGTGGCAGGATCTCGGCTCACTGCAACCTCTGACTGCTGGGTACAAGCGATTCCCCTGCCTCAGCCTCCTGAGTAGCTGCAATTACAGGCACTTGCCACCACGGCCGGCTAATTTTTTTTTTCAAGACAGAGTCTCACTACGTCACCAGACACCAGGTTGGAGTGCACTGGCGACCTCGGCTCACTGCAACCTCTGCTTCCCGGGTTCGAGCAATTCTCCTGCCTCAGCCTCCCGAGTAGCTGGGACTACAGGCGCGCCACCATGCCCAGCTAGTTTTTTTGTATTTTTAATAGAGATGGGGTTTCATCATATTGTCCAGGATGGGCTCCATCTCCTGACCTCATGATCTGCCCGCCTCGGCCTCCTGGAGTGCTAGGACTTCAGGCATGAGCCACTGCGCTCAACCCAAACTGCTTCTTTATGAGGCACGACTGAAGGCTTCTGGGGGATGGCTGGGTGCTGGGTCTGTGCTAATCGGCTCATTTTGGCTGTGGGCACCCCAGACGTACGGGAGCCAGAACCTGAAGCACGTGGGTGTGATCCTGCAGCGAAGCGCGCTCATCCTGCTCCTCTGCTGCTTCCCCTGCTGGGCACTCTTTCTCAACACCCAACACATCCTGCTGCTCCTCAGGCAGGACCCAGGCGTGTCCAGGTAAGATGGGACCTGTTGTGGCGGGAATGGGCATCCCTCCCACAGAAAGTTCATCCCGTCTGGGTGCAGCCAAGGCCAGGGACAAGGCTGCACACCAGAGTGGTGCTAACCTCTCCTTGGCTGACATCTCCTAGGTCTTAGTACTTTTCACACCTGGCACCCGAGATGTACCCACTCCCCTCCTGGGTGACCTGCATGGCTGAGAGTTTTGAATGAAAATAGATTTGCAGGCACCCTCCATGTGGGATGGTAGTTTGTGGCGTTTGCTCAAAGTTTAGTATATCTTGAGCTTGGTTGATATTAAAATCAGCTGGGTGCTTTCAAACCCACCTGTGCCCTTGTCCCCACCTCCCAGGATTCTTTTTTTTTTTTTTTTTTTTTTTTTAATGGAGTCTCACTCTGTCTCCTAGGCTGGAGTGCAGTAGCGTGATTTCGGCTCACTGCAACCTCCACCTCCTGGGTTCAAGCAATGCTCTTGCCTTAGCTTCCCGTGGAGCCGGGGCTACAGGCGCTGGCCACCATGCCCAGCTAATTTTTGTATTTTTAGTAGAGATATTGGCCAGGCTGGTCCCGAACTCCTGATCTTGTGATCCATCCACCTTGGCCTCCCAAAGTGCTTGGATTACAGGTGTGAGCCACTGTGCCTGGCCGGGTAAGAGCTTTCAAAGCTCTTACCTACATCAGTGGCTCTGAACCGAGGAGACATTTGGCAATGTCTTTAGATGTTTCTGGTTATCACAGCTGGCAGTAGGGGTGCTCCTGGTAGAATCCAGGAGGCTGTGGGACATCTTGCCATGCTCTGGACAGCATCCCACAACAGGTGGAAAATTACCTGCGATGGTGCTGTAATTGAAAAACCCTTCCTAAACATAAAGACACAAAAGAACCAAGAAAGGTTATCTGGGTTTTAAGATGACAAGCTTTATATGTAAATTTTCACATTGACTCCAGCAATTTAAGCCCATTAATTTTGAAAGAGCCAAGAATGCAAATGGAAGTTTTGGTTATTTTCTTCTGCCTACTTTCCCTTGAAACCAAGGCCTACATCACAGTTTTTGTTTTCTTTCCGTTACTTAGGCTTACTCAGACCTATGTCACGATCTTCATTCCAGCTCTTCCTGTAAGTGCTCAAGGACTAAGAGGTTCCTTTCTTGGGGTCTGTGGGTGCAAGGCAGCTGCAGTATCTGTGAGCGCAGTGTATTGGCTCAGTCTTAGATGATTCTCTTCTGTGGTGTTGGTGCCTTCAAGGAAGCCTGTTTTTGTTTATGCCTGTTAAGGGCAAAACAGATGTTCGTCTCGAAGAACGCCAAGATTGAGGCTACTCCAGGAGACCTGGAGTAGAGCTGGAGAGACTTCCAGAGTCATCCATGGAGAAAAACGCAAACTTTTATTTTAAACAAGAGCAAAGTTTCACCCATTTCACAACCCCTGAGGGTGTCACTTAGAACCTTTAGACTTTTTCTGGTCTGCTGAGTTTGACCACACAGAACCATAAGCATGGGTTAACGTTTGACACAGCAGTGTATGGTCAATGAACAATGATAGCTAAGCGTTTTTTTCTTTTCTTTCTTTCTTTCTTTTTTTTTTTTTGAGACAGACTTGCTCTTTCACCAGGCCGGAGTGCCACGATTCGATCTTGGCTCACTGCAGCCTCCATCTCCTGGGTTCAGACAATTCTCCTGCCTCAGCCTCCCGAGTAGCTGGAACTACAGGTGTGTGCTACCACACCCAGCTAACTTTTTTTTGTATTTTTAGTAGAGATGTGGTTTCATCATGTTGGCCAGGATGGTCTTGATCTCTTGACCTCATGATCTGCCTGCCTTGGCCTCCCAAAGTACTGGGATTACAGGTGTGAGCCACCATGCCTGGCCTTTTATTTTTTATTTTTTTGGTGTTTTTAAGACAGGATCTCATTCTGTCACCAAGGATGAAGTGTAGTGGCATCATCATAGCTCACTGCAGCCTTGACCTACTGGGCTGAAGCCATCATCCTGCCTCAGCCTCCTGAGTAGCTGAAACTACAGGCATATGCCACTACACTTGGCTAATTTTTTAGTTTTTGTAGAGACAAAGTCTTGCTATTTTTTTTTCAGCCATGTAAGGTTATATATATATATATATTTATATTTTTTAAGATAGGATGTCACTCTGTCACCCAGGTTGAAGTGCAGTGGCACAATCTTCACTCACTACAACCTCTGCCTCCTGGGCTCAAGTGATCCTCCCACCTCAGCCTCCCCATTAACTGGTACTACAGGTGCACACCACCACGCCCAGCTCATTTTTGTATTTTTTTTGTAGAGACAACATTTTACTATGTTTCCCAGGCTGGTCTCTAACTTCTGGGCTCAAGGAATCTGTCTGCCTTGGCCTCCTGAAGTGCTGGGTTGCAGGTGTGAGCCACCACGCCTGGCCTAGGAGCTAAGAGTTTGTAATTTAGTTGGAGACTATAGCTGCATGAGTCTTCGGGGGCTTCCATCATATAATACCACACACTAGGGGGCTTAAACAACAGAACTTTATTTTCCTCCTTTTCTTTTTTTCCGAGACAGAATCTTGTTCTGTCTCCCAGGCTGGAGTGCAGTGGCATGATCTCAGCTCACTACAACCTCTGCCTCCTGGGTTCAAATGATTCTCCTGCCTCAGTCTCTTGAGTAGCTGGGACTACAGGTGGTGCCACCATGCCCAGCTAATTTTTGTATTTTTAATAGAGAGGGGGTTTCACTATGTAAGCCAGGAGGGTCTCGATCTCTTGACCAGGTGATCCGCCCACCTCGGCCTCCCAAAGTACTAGGATTACAGGCGTGAGCCATCATGCCCAGCCAGAACTTTATTTTCTTACAGTTCTGGAAGCTGGAAGTCCAAGGTCAAGGTGCGGCAGGGTTGGTGTCGTCTGTGGCCTCTCTCCTTGGCTGCAGCGGCCCGGCTCTGCAGGCTGTCCCCCATGCATTCATCCCCCAGTCCTATTGGATTAGGGCCCCACCCTAAAACCTCATTTTAATTTAATCTTCCTTTGAAGACCTCCAAATAGTCACATTGGAGACTCTGGGGCTTCAACGTATGGATCTAGGGACACCATTTGCCCTCAGAATTGGAATTGTGCTCACTCATTTATCCTGAAACCTTGTCAGTGTGACAGCCTTTCATGATTCCACCACGTAAGACCAGACTATATGGAGGTGCCCGCCTGGAGTCTGCCCAGGGGCCCCTTTCCATGCCAGTGTCCCCAGAAGAGTCCTGGCCATGCACCCAGGGAAACTGCACCCCCTTTTTCCAGATGGAGGGACTATGCTTGGGGCATATTCACCCATAAAGGAGAAGTGGGAAGTCCCCGGGCCGTAACCCCCTGGCCTCAGCCCCATCCTGAAATGCCAGTCTCTGTGGCTCCGTGCAGGAGCACAGCCAAGCGTTGCCTGTGTCTCCCAGCTCCCTGCCATGTGACCTCACTGCTGTGTGGCAAAGCCAAAACACTAACATTCATCTCTCTCATTCTCTTGTAGGCAACCTTTCTTTATTTATTACAAGTTAAATATTTGCTCAACCAGGTAATGCTGAGTGTTCTCTTTCTTTGGGAGGTTAATGGAAGTTTGTACCTTTCTGGGAATGGGGGCCCTGAAGATACTCGGAGACCAGGGACTCCAGGGTGGAGGGAGCTCACTGCTGGGAGCCACTGAAAGGTGTTTTCTCAGTGTTGTGCACACAGGACTTAGACGTCGACAGATTTGTTAAGTGATGTCAAGGAAAGAACATGTTATATTTGGCTCTGGAAAACTTGTATCCAGTTCCCACTTGGAAATATTGTCATTGGCAGGGCGGGATCAGAGCCGCAGTGTTCTTTGACTCTGCATTTAACCAGTGTCCTGGAAAGAAGGGTGCATGCCTGTTTGCTCCCAGGACAGAGTGCAGGCTGGGGGCGCCTCGTCTGGCAGTGAGGGAACCCGCCTGTCTATTCTGTTCTGTCTGAACGGCCCCACTTTTCTCAGCGAGGACCTGACAGCTCAAACTCCAGTGACACCTAACGTCAGCCACAACTCTTCCTATGTGACTAAACAGTCGTGGCCAAGGGCCCCAGCATGTTGCCCTGGCTTGGTAGCAGTAGATCGATGAAGCCAGTGTATGTGGGACTCTCCACATTCTTCCAGATAAACACGGGTAACTGGCAATAGATCCCGGCCACACTGGTAGGCTCCGCAGGCACATGAAACAGAGGCTGGTGGGGAGGAGGAAGGGAGGAAGTTTCCCACTGTTGCAGTGTTCTTAAAGTTAAGATATTACCGTAGTCGGCTGGGCGCGGTGGCTCATGCCTATAATCCCAGCACTTTGGGAGGCCGAGGCAGGTGGATCATGAGGTCAAGGGATCAAGACCATCCTGGTCAACAAGGTGAAACCCCTTCTCTAATAAATATACAAAAATTAGCTGGGCATGGTGGCATGCGCCTGTAGTCCCAGCTACTCGGGAGGCTGAGGCAGGAGAGTTGCTTGAACCCAGGAGGCAGAGGTTGCAGTGAGTCGAGATCGCGCCATTGCACTCCAGCCTGGGTAACGAGAGTGAAACTCCGTCTCAAAAAAAAAAAAAAAAGATATTACCGTAGTAAAAAAACATTTTTAGGCTGGATGTGGAGGCTCATGCCTGTAATCCCAGCACTTTGGAGGGCTGAGGCGGGAAGATCAGGAGGTCAGGAGATCGATACCATCTTGTCCAACATGGTGAAATACCATCTTTACTAAAAATACAAAAATTTAGTTGGGTGTGGTGGTGTGTGCCTGTAGTCTCAGCTACTTGGGGTAGGCTGAGGCAGGAGAATCACTTGAACCCAGGAGGCGAGGTTGCACTGAGCCGAGATCATGCCACTGCACACCAGCCAGGTGACCGAGCGATACTCTGTGTAAAAAAAAAAAATAATAATGTTTTTAAAGTAGATATGGGGTCTTGCTATGTTGTCCACGCTGGTTTCAAACTCCTGAACTCAATCAACCTTCCTGCCTCAGTCTCCCAAATTGCTGGGATTATAGGTATGAGCCACTGCATCCAGGCAGGATATTACTCTGTCAACAAAACAAGAACATTTGGAATCCCTATTAGTGTTAGAATGAAATATCAGAAACAGGGGTAGAATAGAAAGAAGGAAACCTGCACATCTCATCGGCTCTGGGCCATCTTCTTTCGGTCTAGACGCTTGTCTAAGGCAGGGGATGCCTTCACAAGGCAGGGCCTCCTCCCAGACTCAGTCCTCCAACAACTGCAATGGCCCTAACCTCAGGGTCTGATGTGGCCTACTGAGGACAGTGCGTGTGAAAGTCTTCTCTCCGGTTCTCCGGGGCACAGGGAAAGGCCTGAAAGTAGGAGCCACAAGCTGAGCGGGGTTGGGAGCTTGGTTACAGAGGACACATGGTGTTTCCAAGGTCGGGAAGGAAGGCAGAGCATTACAGACAGAGGGGCAACAAGCTTGTTCCTAGGGGCTGGGATAGCAGAGTCTCATTAGGCCACGGCTGTGGTAGGGGACACAGTGAGACGATGGCATCAAGAGGTAGGCTGGACCTGGGTCAGCATGTGCTGGGCCTTGTGTCCTCTGCTGGGGTGCAGTGACATGATCTCAGTTCACTACAACCTCTGCCTCCTGGGTTCAAGCGATTCTCCTGCCTCAGCCCTCCCGAGTAGCTGGGAGTACAGGTGTGTGCCACCACGCCTGGCTAGTTTTTGTATTTTTAGTAGAGATGGGTTTTCACCACATTGGCCAGGCTGATCTCAAACTCCTGACCTCAGGTGATCCACCCGCTTTGGCCTCCCAAATTACTGGGATTACAGGTGTGAGCCACTGCACTCGGCCCTGAATTCATTTCTTGTCATTTGTCCTTTGTGTCATTTCAGAGGACTTTAACCCATCTCCATCCACTGCCATCTACCTGAAGAGTAAATCTGACCACTAATTCCCTTGCTAAAAACTAACCAGGGTCTCCCCATAAATATGTGGCCCACACAAGTCCGGGCCACATCAGCCTGAGACCACCAGAGACAGACCTGTAGGCCAGTGGGTTTGCAGTTGGGTTACCAACCTGTCACATTGAGAGAGACCGGAGGGGCCATGGGATGCCTCACCAAAGGAAGAAGAGTTATTATAAAAGGCTGAAGAAGGGTGAGGTTCAAGTGACATTTAAACAAAACCATGGTTTCATAGGTGCTGAGCAGATCTGTGAGGGAGGGGCCCAGCATAGGTCTGGGCTGTGACATGGACCTGGTGCTCCTCCTTTGGAAACCCAAGGTTAGAAGGATATCGAAGGTGGACAGATGTAGAATGCCACATCCAGGAACTCCCACGAAGCTCTGGGCCTGGGTTGGAAATTGAGGCTAATTTTTATATTAAAGTGATACCGAGCCTCCAGGCAAGAGTGGGATGTTTTCTTTTTCCTGATATGATTTCAAACAGCAATGTTTCTGAACAGTCTGATTTCAGGGATTTTTTTTTTTTTTTTTTTTTTTTTTTTTTTTGAGATGCAGTGTTTCTCTGTCACCCAGGCTGGAGTGCAGTGGCACGATCTCAGCTTGCTGTAACCTCCGCCTCCTGAGTTCAAGTGATTCTCCTGCCTCAGACTCCCGAGTAGCTGAGATCAAAGCGCCACCACGCCTGGCTGATTTTTTGTATTTTTAGTTGAGATGGGGTTTCACCATGTTATTGAGGATGGTCTCGATTTCCTGATCTCGTGATCCACCTGCCTTGGCCTCCCAAAGTGCTGGGATTACAGGCGTGAGCCACTAGGCCTGGCTGATTTCAGCAATTTTAGAGAACAAAGTTTCTCCATGAGTCAGAAAGCACTTGTCATTCCAACAGGGGAGTAATGTCACTTTGTGGGGATAGTGTGGCCTTGGGAGAAAGGATGCTTCCTCTTTCCTTTGCACTGACTTTATCTGTCTCTGTTATTCTATCCTGATGCGTGGCAGGACAGAGTTTTACTTCCTTGGTCTGATGTAATTTTATTTTCATGCCCTGCCTTACACTAAGACACCAAATAGTCTGGATGCTTCTCCTGTCGCTGTGCTTTTGAGAATTAGATATGTTGGAATCCCTTCCACACTCAAGAATGAAACTCTGGTTTCTTCAAGATCTTGGGTCAACTTTCTGAATTTCTATTTTGGTCAAGAAAATTTTCATTTTCTCCTATAGTCCAGTGTCAAAGATGGCTTGTTGACCCTTTGAGGCCCTGCCAGTCCTTGCCCTGTCAGAAACTAGCAGTTTTTCTGCTTCCATCCCTGTTATTATACATAGCTTGCCTATGTCTCTCTGTGGCCAGAATTCCCCACTTTATGCCTCAAAGAGAGAAGGAAGAGAAAGGGCCTTCCCAGTCCAGCCCTGCTGCTATGCCTGTGACACCTGCTAAGCGGGCCGGCTGGAGCCTGGTGTGTGCTTGGCTGGCAGAAAGGGAGTCCTGTTCTGTGGATCTCAAGGGTGACATGCGGTGTCCTTGTTCCAGGAAATTGTACTGCCCCAGATCATAACTGGAGTTGCAGCCAACCTCGTCAATGCTCTCGCCAACTATCTGTTTCTCCATCAACTGCATCTTGGGGTGATGTGAGTCCAACACACTCTCAGGACAGGGAGAAGGGATGGCTTGCATGCGGTTTTTCCAGGAGGGAGAAGAGTGGGCCCTTCAGCTGGTTCTTGTGTCCATGCGTGGCTTTTTCTTGCACCACTGTGGAAAGCACTGTCAGGGATGGAGGGTGATGCTGCTCTGGGAAGAAGACCTCAGGGCCTGCTGAGGACAGCACAGCTAGGGCTGAATCTCCCCTCCTCACTGAGTGGGGCAGGGAGAGGTGCAGGAGGGTATCTCCCTCTCACTGGGACTGTTCTTTCCAGAGGCTCCGCACTGGCGAATTTGATTTCCCAGTACACCCTGGCTCTTCTCCTCTTTCTCTACATCCTTGGGAAAAAACTGCATCAAGCGACATGGGGAGGTAACGACTACCTTTTGTCTTCCAACTGGGTCGTGGGTTTTTGCCTCGGGTTGAGTTCTGGCCTGATGGCCAGATCTACTGGAAATGTGTGTGTCCCGCCCACAGGCTGGTCACTCGAGTGCCTGCAGGACTGGGCCTCCTTCCTCCGCCTGGCCGTCCCCAGCATGCTGATGCTGTGCATGGAGTGGTGGGCCTATGAGGTCGGGAGCTTCCTCAGTGGTCCGTATGAGGATGGATGGCGGTGACTGGTGGGAACCTGGGGGCCCTGTCTGAGTGCAAGGCGACAGCTGTCTGTCTTCACCAGGCATCCTCGGCATGGTGGAGCTGGGCGCTCAGTCCATTGTGTATGAACTGGCCATCATTGTGTACATGGTAAGCAGCGGGGGCCAATCGTGGGGAGGTGCCAGGCGTTTCCTTGCTGGGTATCTGAAAGAGTCGATGGGTGAGCACAGGCCTTCGTATGTGAATCATTGGTAAAATGATAGACAAAAGTCCAATCCCATCCTTGAGCATGGGAGGGTACCTCTGCTACAGCTGGATCTTCCCTGGGAACTGAAGGGGGCTGGAGAGAAACTGCATGTGATCTGGTGCTTCTCCCTCTCCTAACGCAGCTCCCAGCTTAATCTTCCCTTTGTTTCCATACTTTTAAAATCTTTTTCAGTTGCCACAACTGAAAACCCAGGCGGGTTGCTTAGCAGAGGGATGAGACTAGGTATATGACCATAAATACCACTCTTCCTGTGCCGCCATGTCTGCTCCTGCCTGGTTCTGAAGCCTCTGAAAACACAGTATGGCCACTCCTAGGTAGATCCCCAAAAGAACTGAAAGCAGGGTCTTAAAGGGATTTTTTTTTTTGAGATGGAGTCTCACTCTTGTTGCTTAGGCTGAAGTAAAATGGCATGATCTCAGCTCACTGCAATCTCGGTCTCCCGGGTTCAAGTGTTTCTCCTGCCTCAGCCTCCCGAGTAGCTGGGATTATAGGTGCACACCACCATATCCTGCTAATTTTGTATTTTTAGTAGAGACAGAGTTTCACCATGTTTGTTGGTCAGGCTGGTCTCGAACTCCTGACCTCAGGTGATCTGCCCCACCTTGGCCTCCCAAAGTGTTGGGATTGCAGGCATGGGACACCACACCTGGCTTAAAGGGATATTTGTTAACTATGTTCACAGGAGCATAACAGGATACAAAAGGTGGAAGCAACCTATGTGTCGATGGGGGATGGAGAGATAAACAAAATGGGTGCTATGAATACAGCGGAGTGTGAGTCAGACGTTTTTGATCATAGGGAACACCAGTCGTCAGGAAGCTTTCCTTTGACTTTGTTTTACTGAAAACATCAACTGGAGATTCTGAAGGAAGCACGTACCATTTTCGAAACATAAAAGTAAAAACAGAAAAGGGAGATTGTAATGTGGGGAGAAACTCAACCCAGAAAATGAGTGTGGCATTTTTTGCAGTAGTTAACGCTTAGGTTTTCTCTCTGACACTGGTTGTGTTTTGAAAGTACAGAGAGTACACATTTCCTGTTCTTTTTAGAGAATTATTCTCTTGCACACCTGTGGTTGTTTTTTTTGTTTTCCTATCCTTGGCAGAGTTTTTTAACGTGGATATTTTACTTCACTTTTAATATTTTATTGACATTTTATATTGAGTAAATTCATTAACTATATTTAAGTCAAAATGCTTACTGGTATATAGAATTCCACTATATGCGGTATACTTTTAAAATCAATTTCCTATGGTTGAAGAGTTTATTTCCAATATTTCAATATTAACAGCTCTTCAAGGAACATCCTAGAACAAATATCTTTATATACTTGTCCGATTATTTCTTTCAGATTCATAAAAGTGAAACAAAGGTATGACTTTATGTCTTTTGCATGTTTCCATATACTTTCCAATAGGCTTGTAAGAATTTACACTTATATTTCTTCTTAATCAACAGAAAGATGTTGATTTCCTCAGATTCACCAGTTGTTCATATTTTGCCCCATTTGTTCTGTCTGGTCTGTCTACACCGTCCATGTCCAAATACAATACCAATACAGTCAGTATAAAACAATACCAATTGCTCTGGTGATGTCCTTTATCACTAAGTTTCCCTAGTGTCACGTCTCTTTAGTGTCCTTTAATCTGGAACAGATCTTCATTATTCCTTCATCTTTCTTGACCTTGGCATTTTTGAAGAACATAGGCCATTATCTGTAGAAGTTCACTCTATGTGGTGCGGCTGATGTTTCCTTATAAATAGATTTAGATTGTTTGTTTTGGGTAAGAAAGCTACAGACGTGATGCTGTGACCTTCTTAGTGCACCGTATCAGGAAGCACGTGATGTTGATCTGTCTCAGTGTCGGTGATATGACCTTTTTAGTTGGTGGTGTTTTTGTTTTTGTTTTTGTTTTCTTTGAGACAGCATCTTGCTCTGTCACTCAGGCTGTTAACAGTGGCATGATCTTGGCTTACTATAGTCTCGACCTCCTGGGCTCAAGCAATCCTCCCACCTTAGCCTCCTGAGTAGCTGGTACTACAGGTGTGTACCACCACTCCCAGCTAATTTTTTTTTTTTTTGAGATGGAGTTTCGTTCTTGTTACTCAGGCTGGAGTGCAATGGCGCGATCTCAGTTCACTGCAACCTCTGCCTCCTGGGTTCAAGCAATTATGCCTTAGTCTTCCGAGTAACCGGGACTACAGGTGTGCACCACCATGCCCAGCTAATTTTTGTATTTTTGGTAGAGACAGGGTTTAACCATGTTGACCAGGATGGCCTCCATCTCTTAACCTCGTGATCCACCCACCTCAGCCTCCCAAAGTGCTGGGATTATAGGCGTGAGCCACCACGCCTGGCCTTCCGCAGCTAATTTTTTTTTTTCTAAATTGGTCTTGTTACATTGCCCAAGCTGGTCTCAAACTCCTGGGCGCAAGCAGTCCTCCCACCTTAGCCTTCCAATGTGCTGGGAGCACAGGCACAAGCCGCTGCATCCTGCCAGTATTAACTTTGATATCTTGGTTAAGGTGGTGCCTGCCAGGTGTCTCCTGTCAAGTCACTGCCTTTCTCTTTGTAATAAATAAATAATCTGTCAGGTGATCTCTATGTTTGTCCCTACTTGTGAATTTCTAGGCAGAGACTCAGTCTTTTATTACTTTTTTATTCCCCAACCTATGTCAGATTTTCTTTAAGCTGGTCGTTAGTTGTCCTGATCCTAAGGCAATGTTCATGTTTCAACAAGTAAGGACTCATATTTCCTTATTAATATTAATTTTTCCAGTGGTAACTTTATAAATAATAATGGTAAATCTTTATTGAGCAATTCCTACATGCTTCTTCTAAGCAGTTAGCATGTAGAGACTTATTAAATTCCCACAATAACCCAGTGATAGAGGTTCTATGATTCAACCCCTTTTACAGATAAAACAAAACTCTGGAGGTTTAGACAGGGTAAGTAACTTGCTCAGGGTGATGTAGCTGATAAGTGGCATGCTGGGATTTGAACCTAAGCAATCTGGCTTCACAATCCTGATCCCTAACCACAAGGCAGGGTTGCTTCCCTACAGTTCCTTTAGTACCACTCCTATCTTTTAAACTGAATCCCTGGATGGTCTTTCAGGACAGACACTCTGCCATGGGTGGTGCCGCATGCCTATGATCCCAGCTACTTGAGAGGCTGAGGTTGCATGATTGTTTGAGCTCTGGAGGTTGAGGTGGCCGTGAGCTGTGATTGTGCCACTGCACTCCAGCCTGAGGGACAGAGTGAGACCCTGTCCCTACTTATTTTATTTTATTTCATTTATTTTGAGATGGAGTTTCACTCTGTTGCCCAGGCTGGAGTGTAGTGGCACTATCCCAGCTCATTGCAACCTCTGCCTCCAGGGTTCAAGCAATTCTCCTGCCTCAGCCTGCCAAGTAGCTGGGATTACAGGTGTGTGCCACCGTGCCCAGCCGATTCTTGCACTTTTTAGTAGAGATGGGGTTTCATCATGTTAGCCAGCCTTGTCTCAAACTCCTGACCTCAAGTGATTCGCCCGCCTCAGCCCCCGAAAGTGCTGGAATTATAGGCGTGAGCCACCGCACCTGGAGTCTGTCCCTATTTAAAACAAACAAACCAGACACAAGCCTGGGCTCCTGGTGAGTCAGTTTATCCCCCTACTCCCAGAGGAAGAATGTGCAGCATCCCCAAGTGGCAGAGGATGGAAGCTCTGCAGAAAAGCCCCATCTGTGCTAAGCATCATCACCTGGGTTCAGTTTCCACAGTAGCCTGGGGGCTTCCAGCTAGACAAAGGGGATGTTGCAGATTGGTCTTTTCGAAACTTTTAAGACCAAGTGTTCCCACCAGGTGTGAGGCACGAGGCCACTTCTCTGCATGTGTTCTCACGCTGCAGTTGCGTCGTTGCAGGTTTCCTTTTCGTTTTAGGTTCCTGCAGGCTTCAGTGTGGCTGTCAGTGTCCGGGTGGGAACTGCTCTGGGGGCTGGAAACATGGAGCAGGCACGAAAGTCCTCCACGGTTTCTCTGCTCATCACAGGTACGGAGACCCCTTCACCTGAGTCTCCCGGTGCAGTCTCTGCATGCAAACCCCAGGCTCCCCCACTTCCTGTGGATCTCTCTCACCGTGTTGTTTCTTCTGCCGTTTTCACCTTCAGTGCTCTTTGCTGTAGGCTTCAGTGTCCTGCTGTTAAGCTGTAAGGATCACGTGGGGTACATTTTCACTACCGACCGGTGAGTGCTGGGGTTTTCTTGAAAAATGAAATCTGTGATAAAGAAATGGTTCCGGTGGGGCACAGTGGCTCTCGCCTGTAATCCCGGCACTTTGGGAGGCCAAGAAGGGCAGATCACCTGAGGTCAGGAGTTCAAGACCAGCCTGGCCAACATGGCAAAACCCCGTCTCTACTAAAAATGCAGAACTTAGCCGGGTGTGGTGGCAGGTGCCTGTAATCCCAGCTACTCAGGAGGCTGAGGCTGGAGAATCGCTTGAACCCAGGAGGTAGAGGTTGCAGTGAGGTGGGATTGTGCCACTGCACTGCACTCCAGCCTGGGTGATGAGAGTGAGACTGTCTCAAAAAAAGAAAAAAAAAAAAAAAAAGAAATGGTTAAGTTGGAAAGATGCTATCACAGAGGGGCTGCCTGCGGTTGTTGCATCAGGTGTGTCTGATCATTGCAAGATCAGCGGCTTCACTGATGTTACTTGGGAGAAACACATGCGATGTAGGAACTGGTTTACATAGTCTACCATGCCAACTAATGGGCATTGGTGATGACTGTATGCTTCTGGTGGTCGTATTTTAAAGGTGGAAACTCCTTTTCAGTACAGTTAATTACATTTTCAGTTAATTATTTTGTTTCCAATGGTAAGAATCCTCTTAGTTTCTTAGTATCTGCCAAACTGCCTGGTTTGTAGTAGTTGCATAGTATGTCTGGCAAACTGAATTGAAGTTAAAATCTCACCAAGGAGCTGTCTCAAAAGTCTCACTCTCACATTGATGACTGAGGAATTCTTGGATAAGTCCTCTCTGCTCTGCAGAATTTTTTCCTTCATCAGTGATGCTAGTGTGTACATTCTGACTATATAGAAACTTCGTGGGGATACTTCTTATTTGGGACACCTTTATCAGCAGTTACAAAATGCAAATTGACTTTGCCTTCATGGATTCAGAAAGCTGGCGGAGTGGACAGAACTAACTTCACGGCTTGTCCTTCACACACTTGTCTTTTGACTTCAGATGGTAGGTTTTCATTTTTCAGCTTCAGCTGTTTTGTTATGGGGAAATAGATGTTTAGGACAGGAGTGGTGCCTCATGCCTATAATGCCAGCATTTTGGGAGGCTGAGGCGGTTGGATCACTTGTGTTCAGGAGTTCAAGACCAGCTGGTCAACATGGGGAAACCCTGTCTCTACTAAAAATACAAAAAAATTAGCCAGGCATGGTGAGACACATCTGCAATGTCAGCTACTCAGGAGGCTGAGGGAGGAGAATCACTTGAACCCGTGAGACAGAGGGTGCAGTGAGCTGAGATCGTGCCACTGCACTCCAGCCTGGGCAACAGAGTGAGATTCCATTTCAAAAAAAAAAAAAAAATAAAGATGTTTGTAGATCCCTCACCTAGAATGAGTGGGGAAGGTGATGGTAAATAGTTGGCTTTTCTCACAAAGGGAATCAGAATGAATTTATGAGGACCAGGATAGATAGATAGACATATTCAGTAGGAATATGGTAAAACTTGGACACTGAATCTGTCCACAGCAGGTAAAGAATGAAAAACGAGAGGCCCACAAACCATAGAGCAGATGAGACAGGGAAACATTGGACACTCAAAAATCAAATTACTTGTAAGGTGGCCGGGATCAACCCAACCAGGTAGAATCAGTGAAACAGAGGCAACTCTACCTAACTTAGTCATAGGGCCGGGAAAAGGCCCCTCTAACAAAGGAAGGGGGATGGTCCTACTAAACACAATCATTTAAAAAATCCTAAGCGACTACTTTGCACAACTTTTTTCAAGGAAATCTAAAAACCTGGAATAAACAGATCATTTTCTAGGGAAATAATTATCAGTATGTATCCTAGAAAAGGTAGAAGGTCTAAGTAAACTGATTTCCTGGTGAGAAATAAGAGAAAGCAATTTTAAAATGCCAAAAACATAATCCCAGAGGGTTCCAAAGGATAATTTTATAAAATCTTCAAAACATAGGGAATTGCAAACATAGATAAATTATAGAAAATTTCAGAGCACAGGAAACCGAAAACTTTGTGTTCTGTTTATGAAGCAAACATTGACCAAAATCTGACAAAGTTTGCACCTAAAAAAGAAAGAAAATCACAGATCACTCTTATGTATTAATACCAATTTAAAAATTCAAAGTAAAATGTTATTAGAATTCAGCAGCACATTGAAAAGAATGTACTTTGGTGAAATGTGACAGTGAATATAGGCCAGGTGTGGTGGCTCAGTCTCCCAACACTTTGGAGACTGAGGCAAAAAGATCACTTGAGCCCAGGAGTTTGAGACCAGCCTGGGCAACATGGCGAAACCCCATCTCTACAAAAAATAAAATTTAGCTGGGCATTGTGGCGTGCACCTGTAGTCCTAGCTACTCGAGAGGCTGAGGTGGGAGGATCACTTGAGCTCGAGAGATTGAGGCTGCCATGAGCCATTATTTCACCACTCCACTCCAGCCTGGGCAACAGTGAGAACCTGTCTCAAAAAAACAAAGTGAATATAATATCTCAGGTGGAAAAAGCAAAGTGCAGAACATCATACAGAGAATGCTGCATGTGAGATGATAGAATATAAAAAGGAAAAATAAGAGTATACATTTGTTACAAAAACTTAGCTGGGCACGGTGGCGCATGCCTGTAATCCCAGCTACTCAGGAGGCTGAGGCAGGAGAATTGCCTGAACCCAGGAGGCGGAGGTTGCGGTGAGCCGAGATCGTGCCATTGCACTCCAGCCTGGGTAACAAGAGTGAAACTCCGTCTCAAAAAAAAAAAAAAGAATATACATTTGTATTTGCTTATATTTTCATAGATTTTAGACAAACATGGAAAGTTCTAAGAATTGTCACCTGGAGGAGCAGGGCTGATACTGCGCAGCCTGGAAGGGCATTGCAGTGTAAGACTTTGCTATCTTGTTCATATTGTTCCGTTTTTTGACCATGTGCATGTTACCTATTCAAAAAATAGAATTTTAATAAAATAACTATATTTCTGTTCTTTTTGGTGAGGAGGAAGTGATCTTGTTGTTCAGTGCTGGATTTCTTCCTTTTTTTTTTGAGATGGAGTTTTGCTCTTGTTGCCCAGGCTGGAGTGCAATGGTGAGATTTTGGCTCACCACAACCTCCACCTCCCGGATTCAAGTGATCCTCCTGCCTCAGTCTCCCGAGTAGCTGGGATAATAGGCATGTGCCACCATGCCTGACTGATTTTGTATTTTTAGTAGAGACGGGGTTTCTCCAGGTTGGTCAGGCTGGTCTTGAACTCCCAAACTCGGGTGATCCTCCCACCTCAGCCTCCCAAAGGACTGGGATTACAGGCGTTAGCCACTGCGCCTGGCCAGTGCTGGATTTCTTATTTAGTAATTAAACAAATATTTATTGCCAGACAGTGTTCTAGGTTCTAGTTTGGAGTGACCAAACTCACTTGAAGGGTGTTGTGCATTTATTGCTTCCCCAGGTGAGGGGCAGCATTTTTCTGTCTCCCTTCATGTGTAGGCATTAGAATCCAAGTCTCTAGCTTTAGGGGTTGTGTTTCTAGGAACCAAGGATATTTCCGCAGAATATGTCTATGGCTTTTACCAAGCTTGGTTCCATCGGGGGAACTTAATTCTTATTCTGTAGTGCTCCACTCAGGCTCACTGAGAGGCACAGTTAGGCTTGGCCTGTGGCATCATCTTAAAAGAAGGATATACATAGCATCCAAACTTGCCAGGATGATAGGAGCGTGCCATTGTGCCCAGCCAAACTTTTTTTTTTTTTTTTTTTGCTGGTGGGGCATGGGGGAGGGGTGTCACGAAATCACTTGATTTGTCTACGCTGACTAAATGGTCTATGCAGCAGCCCCTTCTTATCCCTGGTTTTGCTTTCTAGGGTTTAGTCACCTGCAGTCAATTTTGGTCTGAAAATCTTAAGTGGAAAATTCCAGAAATAAACAATTCACAAGTTTTCAATTGCATGCTGTTATGAGTGTTAGGAGGAAATCTCACATCCCACCTGGGACGTGAAATCATCCCTCTGTCCAGTGTCTCCATGCTGTGTGTGCTTCCACCCACTAGTTATTTCAGGTTGACTGCACTGGTATCACAGCACTGGTAATAGCCCCAAAGCACAAGAGTAACGAAGCTGGCATGTGGGTATCATCTACTTTATTCCTACTGCTGTTACTTTCTTGCTGTGCTGAATTTATAAACTAACTTTCTCATAGGTAGGAGTGTATAGGAAAAACACCGTGTATTTAGATTTCAGTCCTCTCTGCTATTTCAGGTATCCACCAGGGGTCTTGGAACATATCTCATGAAGTCAAGAGTGTGGTGCTTTGTATTTTTCCTAAAAATCGTGAGATACAACATGCAGTTAGTTTCCTCTGTGGGCCCAGCAACAGGAGAACTGTCCCTGACTAGGCTGCTGGCTGCAATACATGCACATGTGTGTTACATGCAGAAAGCTATATGCTTTTAAAAATATATATATTAAATAAAAAATATATATTATACAATATATAATATATAACATATTACATAATTATAATTATATGATATAATACACTATGTAATATATATTACATAAATTATATAATTATGATATATTAATAAATATATTTATATATTTATTAAATATATATTTATTAAATATATATTTATTAAATATATATAATATAAATATATTATATATATTTATTAATATGTATACTTTAAATATATATATATATTTTTTACTCTGTATTTGTATATATACAGTCTTATTCTATCACCCAGGCTGGAGTGCAGTGGTGCAATCTCTGCTCACTACACCCTCTGCCTCCCAGGTTCAAGCAATTCTCCTGCCACCACCTCCTGAGCAGCTGGGATTACAGGTGCTTACCACCAGGCCTGGTTCCATGGGGTTTTGCTATATTGGCCAGGCTGGTCTCAGACTCCTGACCTCAGGTGATCCACCTGCCTCAGCTTGCCAGAGTGCTGAGATTATAGGCATGAGCCACTGCACCTGCCAGAAAGCTATATCCTTCTTTCCCTACTTTGGCTCCTAATCACCATGTGCTTTATTTTCCAAACAGAGACATCATTCATCTGGTGGCTCAGGTGGTTCCAATTTATGCTGTTTCCCACCTCTTTGAAGCGCTTGCTGTAAGTATTATGTAGTAGTCCCCTAAGCACTGTTATGATCTATGAATTTCTTCTGATGGTGGTAAATTTCAGCTGCGAGGAGGGGCCAGGGTAGGTAGGAAGATTGAATATTGTTATCATATTCATTTAGAAGGATGCTGTCATCTTACCATGGATTTTAGAGTCAGAGTCCTACAGAATATGAAGTGCTCAGGAGATGGGCGTGTTTCAGGAGCACTGGCTTCGTTGGCACTGATGGGATGCTCTCTGCCTGCAGTGCACGAGTGGTGGCGTTCTGAGGGGGAGTGGAAATCAGAAGGTGGGAGCCGTCGTGAATGCCGTTGGGTACTATGTGGTGGGCCTCCCCGTCGGAATCGCACTGATGTTTGCAACCAAACTTGGAGTGATGGGTAAGCTCTAACCTGTGCAGGCAGGGCTCAGCTGCTCACCAGCCCAGGAAATGACCATCAGAACACACGGGCCTTTTACTGAGGCTCACCTCTGAAATTTGGAAGCTCACTCACATCCATTCTGTGTCTTGTCAGAGAGCGTGGGGGATGTTCAGAAGGTGGCCTCCAGCTCTAGCCAGGGCCCCAAGGCTCCGTGGTCCTCCCTCCCACCCCTGCAGGCAGTCTTCCATGCGGACAAACTTGAGCGCAGATGCCCTTTCTATTCACCTCCTGACCTGAGTCATCCAGCCCTTATTTCTCCAAAGGAGGTGACAGCAGGGACCACTGAAGAAGCATTCAGAAGCATCCCTTTTGCATGTTCCATGCTGTTCTTTAGACAGCGTGTGAGTCCCTGAGGGTGAGTCTGCAGGGCAGAGGCCTTCATAGGTGGTCTGTCCTGCGTGCGTGGGGTGCCGCAGGGTCAGCACTCACAGTGGCACTGTACATCCTAAAGCAGCACCCCATGTGTTCACCAGGCAGCGTGGCTGGATCCTTGGAGGGCAGCGGGTGGCCAGTGCCCTCCTCATCACCCCCATCGCACTCCACAGCCTCCACCTCCCTCCCTGTACGGCCTCAGCTGTGTGTCTGTGGGTCTCCCCACAAGGGCATGCATGTGATCAAGTGAACAGCACAGGAGGAAGGTGGTGGACACGAGCACCTTCCCACATTTGGAAGAAAAAACTTAATCCACAGCATCTGAAATTACCAGAGCTAATCATTTCTAAAAGTGCGGAAATAAATGACTGCCCAGCTTTGATTTCTAAAATAATAATTCTGAATATATTGGCAGTTAATAAATTATGATATGAAAAGGTAGACATTATCTTTGGGTGAGTAGTGACTGATGTAAAGCGTGGCTTGTTTTGATCCATCCGTACTTGGCAGGTTCTGAGGTGGCGAGAAGTCAACTGATACCTCCAGGGAACTTACAGTTCAGTATGTTCCTTTAGGTGGCACATTTTTCTCAAGTTCAATAATATTTTAATTAAAAATACAGGAGTTGTTCAAAGAATAGAATTGCCAGTGCAGCGTTCATTGGGCTTGCATGATAGTGCAGAAAATTATTCAGCTGAGTTTCTGGTATGATTCATACTCTGGACTTGCCAATTGGATAGCTAATGCAAATATTATAAGAATCTATTTTTATTTTTAAAGCAATGTATTTCATGTAACACAATATAGACAAAATATTATCATTGTAACATGCAATCAGTATAAAATATTAAGGAAATACTTTAAATTCTCTTTTATGTCTTTTAAATTTTAAATTGACAAATTGTATGTATTTATGGGGTACAGTGTGGTGTTTTGATATACATATAGAACGTGGAATGATTAGATCAAGCTAATTAACGTACTTATCGCCTCACTTATTTTTTATGGTAAGACATTTGAAATTAGTTGATTCAAAATGTACATTGACTATGGCCCCCCTGCTGTGCAATTGACCTCAAAACTTATTCTTCCTGTCTATCAGGAACTTCGTGTCTTAACAACTCCCTGTTCCCACACCCTCCCCTCCCTACCACCAGTCTCTGGTAACTATCATGTTACTCTCTACGTCTATGACTTCATTTTTTTTAGAAGAGGAATCTACTTTATTCTCTTGTTCATTTTTACAGATGGGGTCTTGCTGTGTTGCCCAGGTGGATCTCAAATTCCTTGCCTCAAGTGATCCTCCCACTTTGGCCTCCCCAAGTATCCGGGATTACAGGCATGAGGAATCTGCTTTTAAATATAAATCTATCCATACCCCAAGTGCTGTTCTTGGCTCACCTATTCACTTAACAAAATATACTGAGGCTCAGGCTCAGGCTCATGCCTCAGTATATTTTGTTAAGTGAATATATTTGGGATTACAGGCACAGCACAATGGCCCATGCCTGTAATCCCAGCACTTTGGAAGGCTGAGTTGGCAGATTACTTGAGGTCAGGAGTTTGAGACCAACCTGGCCAACATGGCAAAACCTCATCTCTACTAAAAATACAAAAGTTAGCCAGATGTGGTGGTGTGCACCTGTAGTCCCAGCTACTTGGGAGGCTGAGATATGAGAATCACATGAACACCAGAGGCAGAGGTTGCAGTGAGCCAAGATGGCACCACTGTACTTTAGCCTGGGTGACAGAGTGAGACTCGAACTGATCTCAAACACAAAAAACACAAAAACTAAATGTGCAAAGCAGAAGTTGAGAATCACTGAAAAGAAATGGTGGGGGCCCCGGGGATGTGAGGGCTCTATGAGAAGACTGTAGTCAGTCCTTCCACCCGCCTGTTAGAAGAAAGTGTGGTATGAATTGGATTTTAATCTTGTGTTTCCTGTAGTATGGAATGCAGTATACCTATACAGGGTGTAGGAAAGCGTCTGAATTCTGCAGGTTCTCAGAAGCAACCCTAGGAAATCGTAATGACCCTCAGAATCCCTGGGAGACTTTTTAAAATATGTTAATTCCTGGGCCTTGCCCATGGGATTCTAATAATCATCCTACTTTGGGTCCCTAGGTTGGGTCAAATAGAAATCTTGAAATGATCTATGCTAAACTACCAGAAATCTAATTCATAACTTCCAAATTATAGCTGGAGGTAGCTAGTTATTTTCTGTTTAAGATGCTTTGGGTGAGCTTGTAGTTTCTATGCACTGAGAACACTGGATTTGAAAGAGGAAGCCAGTAGCTTCCTTCTGCTAATTTTTTACAGGAATAGCAGGTGACACCAACTATACTATTCTAAGAGCAGGCTACACTGGGTGCAGTGACTCATACCTATAATCCTAGTGCTTTGGGAGGCCAAGGCGGGAGGATCACTTGAGTCTAGGAGTTTGAGGCTGCAGCGAGCTGTAGAGCAAGACCCTGCCTCTAAAGAGCAAACAAACAAAAGGGCAAGCTAGTCATACCTGAAAAAATGTGACTGGTACCAAGAAACAGAGCTGTCAACCTTGTACCTAATCTGTAAACCAGGAACCCAGACTAGCCACCTTAAACCTTACATAGATCTGGACAGCTGTGGAAATAAAGCAGGACCAACCAAGCAAGACAAGCAAAGGCGTATTCTCAGCAAGGGCGTTGGCCGCCACCACTTGCATTTGGGTAGAGACTCAAAGGCAGGCAAAGGAGTGGGAAAGCGTCCCAGGAAAGGGGAGGCTGCAGGTGTGCCCTGAGACTGTTGATCTGGGGATGCTGGAGGGAGCTGACTAGAAATAGGCCTCCGTGTGATTGGTTAGGGGGATGTATTTTACTTTCTCTGGTTGGTTCTAAGTTGGAAACGCGGGCCAAAGTCAGGGAAGCTGTCATTTGCTAATCAAGTCCTGACCATTTGGGGCCAATCGTTACAGAAGTTACTGGTTAGCTTCCTGGATTGTCACCAGAGGCAGCCATCTTGCTTCCTGCAAGTCTGATTTAGGGCAGGCTGGCTTCCTGGGTTTATTGTAGAGAGGGGTGGTTTCTTGGGCTGCCTGATGTGGGGCAGAACCCAAAGTAGGTCTGTTTTTGTTACAGTCAGGCCCTTGTCTCTTGGTTATTGTTGGAGCTTTTGGTTCTGCCATGAGTTTACTGTTGACCAAAAACCCTCCTCTCCTGGGGTCTCCCTCTGTGTCCTGTGTGGTGCTTTGAGATCCACAGGGCTTTTCCCACCACCTGTGCCTCCCAGGCCTGCCTTTGTTCTCTAGTCATCTCTGGGTGCACAGCCCTCCTCTGGGAGCTTCCAGCAAAGTCTGTCAGAAGCAAGTTAAGGTCCAAGGTCTGGCAGGAACTCTGAGGCAGGGAACATTATTAATTTATATAGCTAGTGGTTTCTGCTTTTTTTTTTTTTTTAATGTTAGTCCCCTTTTTTTGAGGAAAATAGGGCAGAAGTAGTTGGTCCTGGGAAATTTTAATTTTCTTATAACTGGCATTTTTCTTAATACTCAAGCATTATAGTCAGTAAGGCCAAAAATATCCTCTGAATATTTGTTCTGAAATCCTGAACCACAAGAGATGGCCCTTCTGGAGGAGGCCTCAGGGAGTATTGGGATTTCTAGAACCTTCCGGAACCTTCTGGAAGTCCAAGAAGGAGCAGGGTAGAGGTCTGTGGCCCACTGTGGGCTCTACCTCGGCCATGCAAGCAGATGTTCAGTATGGCTGACCGAAGTGAGATAGGCAAAACATACTCCCAGGGGCAGCTGGTTTTCTGTGGAATTAACCTCTATTAAATATTTCTATTTCTAGGTCTGTGGTCAGGGATCATCATCTGTACAGTCTTTCAAGCTGTGTGTTTTCTAGGCTTTATTATTCAGCTAAATTGGGAAAAAGCCTGTCAGCAGGTAACTATGTTCATTCTGTCCTGGTTCCTCTCCTAGAAAAACAGGCTCTGATCTGGCTCTCCCTTTTTCATTTTGGAAAGTTCTTTTCTCATTTTCTTTATTTTTATATCATGAATACTATTTTTCTTGTTGTTTTAACTAGACAATTCAGATGTGAAGGGCCAGATGACCCCAGCTTTATCCACTCCCAGAAAAACAGGGGGTTCCTTTCTTCCTTGTCTCCCATGCCAGGCTGTCCCACTTGTGTAGGAAAATCTAATGTCAGGACAAGAATTCGAACTGAAGAGAAAGGTGGGATGCATCAAAGTCATCCTGATGTTGTTTTTATGATCCCCAGATGTTTTGTGAAGATACTTGGTGCATCCTTCCCTTCAGCTTTCTAGGTCTAGAAAGAGGTGATAGAAAAATGAGATGAGTCGAGGTACGGGTGGCTTATGCCTGTAGTTCCAGCTATTCAGGAGGCTGAGGTGGGATGATTGCTGAAGCCCAGGAGTTTGAGGCTGCAGTGAGCTGTGATTGCACCACTCACTGTACTCCAGCCTGGGTGATGGAGTGAGACCCTGTCTCTACAAATAAAAAATTTTTAAAAGAAAAAAGAGAGCCGAGTGCGGTGGCTTACACCTGTAATCCCAGCACTCTGGGAGGCTGAGGCAGGTGGATCACAAGGTCAAGAGATCAAGACCAGCCTGGCCAACATCACAAAATCCCGTCTCTACTAAAAATACAAAAATTAGCTAGGTGTGGTGGCCGGTGCCTGTAGTCCCAGCTACTTGGGAGGCTGAGGCAGGAGAATCGCTTGAACCCAAGAAGTGGAGGTTGCAGTGAGCCAAGATTGTGCCATTGCACTCTAGCCTGTCTGGCAACAGAGTGAGACTCTGTCAACAAAAAAAAAAAAAAAAAAAAAAAAGGAATAATAAATAGATAAATAAAAAAGAAGGGAGAGCTCTAAGTGATCTTGGTCCCTCTCTTGTCTTGTCCCTGTCTCCTTCACTCTCTACTATTCCCATCCCACCTTCCCTCTCATGGACCCCATTTCAATCTTAAGAGACAGGGTCTCACTCTGTCACCCAGGCTGAACTATAGTGGCAGGATCACAACTTGCTGGAGTCTCAACCTTCTGGGCTCAAGTCATCGTCCCGTCTCAGCCTCCCAAGTAGTTGGGAATCAGACATGCACCACCGTGCCTGGCTTTTGTTTGTTTTTAAATTTTTTAGTTGAGATGGGGTCTTGCTGTGTTGCACAGGCTGGCCTTGAGTTCCTGGGCTCAAGCAATCCTCCCTCCTCAGCCTCCCAAAGTGCTGGGATTACAAGTGTGAGCCACAGAGCCTGGCCCCATTTCAATCCTTATGAAAGATGACCGGTGAATGAGAGGAGCTTCAGCTATACATGCCGATTAGGGAAAGTGGCTTGGCTTTTCCTAAACCAGGTGGTCAAGTAAAATACCTTATTAAACACTATCGTGAAGGCTGACGAACTGACTTTCATTTTCCAGGCTCAGGTACATGCCAATTTGAAAGTAAACGTGGCTCCGAGTGGGAATTCCGCTCTCCCGCAGGATCTGCTTCACCCAGGTATGATATGACTCCCTCAGCCCTTGGACAGGCTGGTCTCGGTGGGACTGGAGGGGCTGTTAGTGAGACACAGCTAGATTTGCTGCGATGAGCTCCCATTTAAATAGAGCAATAATGTTTCAGAAATACGTGATGAAGTCAAGTAACACCCAATTCAAGGTCAACTGACTTAAAGTTTATTTGCTTTAATTCCACACATTAGAATACTGCAGTATACTAACTGGGACCTATACAGATGAAAATGTCCCCAGTTCTTCCCCTAATCTGTGGTACTTCTGCAAGCACTTTGCAGGCATTTCTAACACTTGGAGGTACCGTGCTTCTATCCTAGCTTGGAAACTGATGTTTGTTTGTTTTAAAGGGGTTCCTGCTGTTCATCAGGCAGACACTTGTGGGCTTTAAAACAGGTTGTTGCTCTGACCTTTGCTTCTGCTGCACATCATGCAATTGTGGTTATGGTTTTCTTCAGTCAATTGAGTAATTCCCCCCTCCCCCATTCCTGGCCCCTTAGGCAGTTAGCCACCCACTCGCAGTAATCCTTGCTCCTTTATAATTTAAACACTGACTTCATAGAATGGCTAATTTGCAGTCAGTGGTCAATTGTGTCTCTGCATGTTGTCTAGGCTCCTGTGCTGTGTATCTGGTTATCTTTGATTTTAATCAATTTTTTAAAAGTTTCAATTAGAGAAAAAAAAATTTTTTTTAATAGAGAGAGGGTCTCGCCCTGTTGCCCAGGCTGGTGTGCAGAGGTACGATGATAGCTCACTGCAGCCTCCACCTCTTGGGCTCAAGCAATCCTCCTGCCTTGGCCTCCCAAAGCAGTGGGATTACAGGCATGAGCCACCACACTTGGCCTGGCTGTCTTTGATTATGTTGCAGACTTTATATTTGAAAATTTTTTGTAGAAGTAACTTGAACCTGAAAGAATGTCGTCTGTCTTCAGAGAGGATTTTCTTTTGTTGGACACTGGGGGTGACCAGCAGTCTAGAGCAGTCTTGGAAATGGGAGTTTTCTGGAGCACCCAGCTGACCTGAGGTGTGCTGCAGCCAGTGTGAGGCCTGGTTTACTTTTTCTGGTTCATCCTTTTTCTTTCTGAGGAGTCTCGCATTGTCCCAGGCTGCAGTGCAGTGGTGCAATCTCAGCTCACTGCAACCTCCACCTCCCAGATTCAAATGATTCTCCTGCCGCCTCAGCCTCCTGAGTAGCTGGAAGTGCAGTGGGATGATTCTGGCTCACTGCAACCTCAGCCCCCTGGGTTCAAGTGATTCTCGTGTCTCAGCCTCCCAAGTAGCTGGGATTACAGGTGCATGCCATCACACCTGGCTACTGTTTGCATTTTTAGTGAAGACAGCGTTTCGCCATGTTGGCTAGGCTGGTCTCAAACTCTTGACCTCAAGTGATCCTCCCTCCTTGGCCTCCCAAAATGCTGGGATTACAGGCACCAGCCACTGCGGCCAGCCTGGTTCATCCTTCATTCTTGGATGTAGCCCTTCGGGGTTCCAACCTCAAATACAAAGAGGTTTGCCAGAGCCTGAAGTCCCCAAAGCCCTGCTCAGTGTCTCAGTCACGTGGTCTGGGTGCAGCTCTGTCTGACCTGCATCCTCTGATCTCTCTGATCTGAATGAACTCTCTGATCTGAAGCAGCCCCAGAGGCTGGGCGGCCCCTCTGGGTTCCTTCGTCTCCTGGATCTTGCCCTGGTGACTCTTCATTACATTGTTTGCATTCTGATGCCTTCAAGATGATATTTAATTTGTTTTATTCAGATTTGATAATGATCTTCAGGCAAGGGTTGGCCCAGGTTTTCCTGGATCAACATCTGTTGCCAGTTTCCCGATTTGTGAAATCCACATAACAATAGCACTTGTCTCTGTTTTTTTTATTGTTGTTGTTTTGTTTTGAGACAAGTCTCACTCTGTTGTCCAGGCTGGAGTGCAGTGATGCAGTTTCAGCTCACTGCAACCTCTGCCTCCCAGGGTTAAATGATTCTCCTGCCTCAGCCTCCCAAATAGCTGGGATTACAGGCGTGCATCACCACGCCTGGCAAGTGTTTGTACTTTTAGTAAAGACAGGGTTTCACCACATTGGCCAGGCCTGTCTTGAACTCCTGACCTCAAGTGATCCACCTACCTCGGCCTCCCAAAGTACTGGGATTACAGATTTGAGCCACCTCACCCAGGCCGAACAATGACACTTACTTCATACAACCGACATTAGGATTGAGGAGCACCCAGAACTGTCTGACCAGGGCAAGCAATTTGTTAAGTGTGAGCTGGTACACTTCTGTTCAAAATGATTTTCTTTTTCTTTTCTTTCTTTTTTGAGACAGGGTCTTCCTCTGTCGCCCAGGCTGGAGTGCAGTGTTGTGATCATGATTCACTGCAGCCTTGAATTCCTGGGCTCAAGCGATCTGCCTGTCCCAGCTCCCAAAGTGCTGGGATTAGAGGCATGAGCCACTGTACCCTGCCTCAAATGATTTTCTTTCAGAACTCTGAGGATGTTGCTGTATTCCTAACATCCATCCACTTATGCTCAGTGGGAAGTGGGATGGCCAATCTTATTCAATCGCTTCCTGAATTAATTTCTCTCAGCTATTAGCAGATATTCCTTTTATGCATAGCACTTTGTACAAATGAAAAAAAAAAATCCCTTTTAAGCTACTAAATTACTTTTTCCTCCCAGGGTGCCCTGAAAACGATGAAGGATTTTAATGAATGATACTGAAAAGACAGGCGAGAGTCAGTCGGATCAGCAGATGCACCAAGCACAACCTCTGCCCGTCCATCCACAGGACAGCACTAAGTTGTCTAGGAAACAGCTGGTGCTGTGGCGAGGCCTTCTGCTCCTGGGGGTCTTCTTAATCTTGCTGGTGGGGATTTTAGTGAGATTATATGTCAGAATTCAGTGACGTGGCGGGAGGCAAAGTCAGGTCAAGTGATGCTTTTGAGCTTACACACAATTCACAGGTCGACCAGTGACGATTTCCTTCCAGTTAATGTCATTCAGGTGCGCTCATGGATTTTGAAGATTTGGAATGCAAAGATATATTTAAAAAAAAAAAAAAAAAGCAAGCAACTAAGGTGAAAAGCTATATTCTGGCCCAAGACAGTGTCTGAAGGATACATGAGTAACAATTCATTCAGCACTATCTAAAGCAAGGACCACTGTGCTGATTGCACTGGCTTTTGGCTTTGATAGACACAAACCATAAAACCCGGTGCTTAATAATTCCTAATCCCAGCACTTTGGGAGGCCGAGGCAGGTGGATCACGAGGTCAAGAGATCAAGACCATCTTGGTCAATAAGGTGAAACCCCGTCTCTACTAAAAATACAAAAATTAGCTGGGCATGGCGGTGCACACCTGTAGTCCCAGCTACTCGGGAGGCTGAGGCAGGAGAATCCCTTGAACCCAGGAGGAGGAGGTTGTGGTGAGCTGAGATCGTGCCATTGCACTCCAGTCTGGGTAACAACAGCGAAACTCCATCTCAAAAAAAAAAAAGAATTCCTACTGCCTGAATTATTTAAAATATATTTTACAATATATCTTTCCTTGGGCCTTAGATTACTATTCACTGGGCAAATGGCATTTGTTTTGGTTTATTATTGTTTTATTTTAATAGACAGGGGTCTTACTCTATCATGCAGGCTGGCGTGCAGTGGTGTAATCATCGTTCATTGCAGCCTCCACCTCCTGGGCTCCAAGCAGTCCTCCTGCATCAGCCACCAGAGTAACTGAGACTACAGGGGTATGCCACTATGCCCAGCTGGTATTTGTTAATCTTCATTTGAGGTCTAAATCTAGGCCCTGTGGGCACTGAAAAACAGTTGGGTAATCTTTGGAGCTGTGGAAATCCAAACACGCACTAACAATTCCTGGTAGGGGTGTGTGCCTGACCTACTGCAGCCTCAACCTCCTGGGCTCAAGTGATCCTCCCACCTCAGCCTCCTGAGTAGCTGAGACCACAGGCGTGTGCCACCATGCGTAGCTAATTTTTTATTTTTAGGTCTACCCTTTGTTTCCCAGGCTGCTCTCAAATTCCTGGGATCAAGCGATCCTTCCATCTTGCCCTCCCAAAGTGTCGGGATTATAGGCGTAAGCCACCACGCCTAGCCAGAGGACAAAATTTTAATAAAGGCCTTAGCTTAAGTAGTAATCCTACTGCCTTAAGGCTTCCTGGGGCGCAGCCCACACTGTTAATTCAGCAAGCCTCAGGACTTACTAAGTAAATTCAGTGCTGTGAAAGTGGATTATACCAAACTGAGTCATTCGTATCACCCAACTGTAAGTCAAGAAGCAGGGACGAAAGCACCCCGGGCTATAACATTAATCTGGTAATGTGACTTTCCGCACATCCAGCTGCTGAAACTGCCTGCTGTAAGCTGAGACCAGCTTTATCCATAACCGCTAAGGTAACTTGCTGAAGCTCTAGGACTAATTTTGCCTGCCCGGTTGCTTACCAGTTGTAGCTTGCCAGCTCCCAGGACCCTTCCTGGTGCCAATCAACTTTCTCAAAGAGCAATACTGACATTTGTTCTGATGAAACTCCAGCCTTCTCTGTGTTGCTAGGACACACTGAGGACCACCTGGTCTGCATGGATGCCCTGAACTGCAATTCTTTCTTCCCAAATAAAACATTAAATCGAGACTTGCCTGCACATTTTTCACTTAGTGCTGGGATGGATATAATGCTCTAGGCACAGTGTTTTCCTGAAATAACAAATCAGAAAAGTTACCTACTTTGAGTAAAAGACACCCAACTGCTGATTTTGGTTGGGGCCACCTTCAGGTATCTCTACCCTCGGTGCCTTGTTCTTGGGCCCATGTGGCCCATTCTCCAGGGAGGCAGATAAAGGCTTGCACTGTGGCCCTTGGGGCTGGGCCTGGGGGCAGTGGGCAGCCACTGCAGAGGTCCCCCCATCCAGCACCCCCTGCCATTCCCCTTGCCAGATAGGGGAGGGACCCCTGGGGATGAGAGGATGTTCCTTTAACGATCAGCCACAGTAGTCGCTGGCCAGGAGGCAGGGAGGTTGGGGTCCCTGCAAGCCAGGACCCCTCCTCTTCCAGAAATACCTGAACTGGCCTCAAGCCCAGGCCAGGAGAAGCATCTTAGTGCCAGACCCGAGCTCCGCCGGGGAGGATGGAATCACCAGCTCCATCCTGTCTGCCCACCCCCAAGGCATTTTGCTCTTCCAACCAGACTGCAAAGTCCCCTGATAAAAACCCTGCGTCATACAAAAGCACACAATGGATCCTTCTCCGCATGGACCCCTTTCACGAGCCCCCTTCGTCAGCCCCCAAGTGCCCTCCTGACCCTCTGCCTACTCCCGGCCCCCTCCCCCAGGGTTCTGCTGGCAGACAGTGGCACTGGGGTCCGGCGCGGCACGGGCGGGAGGGGTGGTGGGGCTGGGTGGGGCCAGACCGCCCCCACTGTCCCCCCGCACTGCCGTCCCATACTGGCGCTGCCACTCCCTGCGCCCGCGTGGAGGCCCCTGCGGCTGCGGAAGCCCCCAGTCCCCGCTGAGCTCCCCGTGGCCGCCAAGGACCGGCCGCCCCCCCAGCAGCCTCAGGCCCCCGACTGGAGCGACCATCTCTGTAGGATCTGCGGGGCGCGCCGCCCCCGGACCTGCGGCGAGAGGCGATCGAGCTGGCGGTGCTCTCAGGCCCCGTGGTGAGTGCGGCGTTCCCGCGCCCGGCCCGACGCCTCCGGAGCAGCCGCCACACTGTGGGGGGTGGGCAGGTGGGGTAGGGGACGCGGCTTCCGGGCGGCTGTGAACGCGCCTTGCTTTCCGCGCCTCCGCAGCTTCTTGCACAGTTGGTGATCTTTCTTGTCAGCCTCATCAGCTCCATCTGTGGACATGTGGACAAGGTAGAGCTGGACTCTGTCAAACGCTGGCGGTCACGGTGGGTGCCTAATTTCGCCTCCTTAGGAGACGACGGGCTGCCAAGGTTTAGGATTTGAGCGGGGTCCACGGGCGCTGTGGCTCACGACTGTAATCCTAGTGCTTTGGGAGGTTCTGGGCGGGAGGATCGCTTGAGTTTACGAGTTCGAGACCAGACTGAGCAGCATAGCAAGATCCCCGTCTGTACTAAAAATACAAAAATTAATCTGGCGTGGTGGCACCGCCTGTGGTCCCAGCTACTCTGGAGGCTGGGTCGGGAGGATCGCTTGAGCCCAGGAGATCGAGACTGCAGTGAGCTGAGATTGCACCCTGCATTCCAGCCTGGGCAGCAGAGCAAGATCCTGCCTCAAAAACAAGCACACGGGGCCAGGCACAGTGGCTCACACATCTAATCCCAGCCAGCGCTTTGGGAGGCCGAAGTGGGCAGATCACCTGAGGTCAGGAGTTCGAGACCAGCCTGGCCAACATGGTGAAACCCTGTCTCTGCTAAAAATACAAAAATTAGCTGGGCGTGGTGGCGTGTGCCTGTAGTCCCAGCTACTAGGGAGGCTGAGTCAGAAGAATAGCTTGAACCCGGGAGGCAGAAGTTGCAGTGAGCCAAGATCTCACCACTGCAGTCCATCCTGTGCAACAGAGTGAGACTCAGTCTTTAAAAAAAAAAAAAAAAAAAAAAAAAAAAAGTGTTGGGTTTCATTTTGGGGTCTCTTCTCAACCCTTTATTCCTGGAGCCCTGTCAAGTCTCCACGCCCATCCTACCTGCCCTTGACCTCAGGGGGGCCCCGCCTGTGACCCCTTCATCTTTCCTTGCTCTTGCAGCTCTGCCTGGCCCCTCTCTTTGAGCCCTGGGCCGAGCACTTGGCCCTGACCTCCTCCTATCCACCCTTCCACATGCTGCCCCAGACGTCTTAGCTCTTCCATATTGGCCTTCCACCTGCACTCTGGAACCTTCCTTTCTCCTGCAGCTGCCTCTCCTTTGAGTGTTCCCACTCCGTCATAAACATATCAAGTCTCTTCTTTCTTACAAAATCATCCCATCTATCCATCTCCTCGTCCAGCCCCACTCTGGCTTCTTTGCGCTTGTGCTCTTGGCCAGAAAGTCAACATTGTGTCATTTCCTTTTCTTCCGGTAGCAGTCCGGCCTCTGTTCTACTCCTTAATCTGCTCTAGGAAAAGTTGTCGGTGATCCCCTCCTGCTCCTTTCTGGCTGGGGACTGTGCCTCCTGGGTTTCCATCTTGAGCCTTCCTGGGCTTTCCTGCCACCTATCTGGTGGCTGCCTACCTTCCTTGCTCCCCCACCCCTTCGTTTTAAATGTCTCCAATTTGTTGGTGTCCCCCAACTCCGAATCTCCATCCTTGACCTGGGATTGCAGCCAGGACTCCTCCAGCTCAGAGAGCTTGAAGGAAGCTCCGCCTAGGAGCCCCCAAGACAGTTCCCTGTTTTTACACCCAGAGCTCTATCCTTCAGCAAGCCCTGCTAGCTTCATTTCCTTAAAATCACTCCCTTTCTTCTCTTTCCCACGACCACTCACGCGTCCTTTCTGCTCCCTTGTTCCCACATCCTGTGCCAGCTCATTCTTGGCCCTTGTGGTGCATTTTCTCTCGCTGACCTGCAAGCTCATACTTACTTTTGCTGAGATTGGTCCCTGTGCAGATGTGGCCCAGCCAGATATTTCTGAGAAACACCTATTCCAGATGTGCTGCCATCCCAGTGAACTCTCACCTGGGTGTCTCCTGATTTTGTCTTTGTCTTTTTTTTTTTTTTTTTTTGAGACAGAGCGTTGCCCTTTTGCCCAGGCTGGAGTGAAGTGGTGCGATCTTGCTCACTACAGCCTCCCTCCACCTCCCTGGTTCAAGCGATTCTCCTGCCTCAGACTCCCAAGTAGCTGGTATTACAGGTGTGTGCCACCACACTTGGCTAATTTTTGTATTTTTAGTAGAGATGCATTTCGCCATGTTGGCCAGGCTGGTCTCAAACTCCTGACCTCAGGTGATCCACTCGCCTCAGCTTCCCAAAGTACTGGGATTACAAGTGTGAGCGCCTGGCCGATTTTGTCTTTTTCTTCTCTCATCCCATTTCTCTCCCCTTTTCCTTCTGTAACACGGTGAGGGGTTAAAACATTATGGTTATATAATTGTGTAGGGTTCTGTGACTCCTATTCTTTCATTTGTTTCATTTACATTATTTAAAAATACATCTTGGGGGAAGAAACTAACTGAAGATTTTATATGTGGTTTGTGGTTTCTCTCTGTTTCTCCCCCAGATCACCCAACGATAAGAGGGTAGAAAAGATTTCCCAGTTTTCAATGCAGAAATAACAGGAATAGAGTAAACACAAATCCAAACTTAGATAGAAAGGCCTGAAGACGGTAGGTGGGAAGGCCAGCGTGTTGCAACCCAGGAATTTCTGGAGCCTGTTCCTGATCAGGGGCTCCTCATCTTTGGCCAAGGGCAGTGGTATTTCAGCTAAGTTGTAACTAGCTTCTAGGAAGACAATGGACTGATTTTGAATGGACTGATTTTGATGTGTGAAAGCCGAATACATTAAACGTTTTTTACCTTTTGAAAAATTTTCATAGTATAAAAGGATTAACAAAAGTATGTGTGTGTCTTTTTTTTTTTTTTGAGCCATAGTCTTGCCCTGTCGCCCAGGCTGGAGTGCAGTGGCACAATCTCAGCTCACTGCAACCTCCGCCTCCCGGGTTCAAGCAATTCCCTGCCTCAACCTCTCCAGTAGTTGGAATTACAGGCGCCCACCACCATGCCCAGCTAATTTTTGTATTTTTAGTAGAGACGGGGTTTCACCATCTTGGCCAGGCTGGTCTGGAACTCCTGACCCTGTGATCTACCCACCTCTGCCGCCCAAATTGCTGGGATTACAGGCATGAGCCACTGTGCCCAACTCAAGTGGTTTTGTTTTGTTTTGTTTAAATAAAAGAACATTTATTTATATTCCACCTTGGTCCACAAAGAATTTGAACTAGTTTACAAAATACTTCCCTAAAAGGATACATAAATAGCTGTTAGAACTGGGTCAAAGGAACATGGGTGGGAAAGCCTGGAGCTGGGGGTGAGGATGGCAAGGGATACACTGGAAATCATGCTGAGGTTTTGTGGATGCCTTGATCTAGGTGAAGGGCAGGCCTGGGTGCTGAGGCACAGCCACAGTTCCCTTGACCCTCAGCAGGTAGACACCACGGCATGGAGCGTGGTGTTCTGGGTAGCTTGATGCCAGAGACAGAGTAGCAATTTTTGTTCCGTCTTTTGTTAAGTTGTGTGTTGTAATCGAGAGGTCTAACGTCAGAGCTCAGGTTGATAAAAGCTTGGGACAGTGGAAGTGGCAGGTCCCAAGGCCATGGTCCTGCCTACATGGGTAGACTGAGCCTGAGGGGAGAGTAACATATTTCTCATTTCTTTGTGTTGGAGGCATTCAATATCATCTTTTCTTTTTTCTTTTCTTTCTTTCATTTCCTTTCTCCCTCCCTCCCTCCCTCCCTCCCTCCCTCCCTCCCTCCCTCCCTTCCTTCCTTCCTTCCTTCCTGTCTCCTCCTCCCCTCCCCTTCTTCAGGAGCTTGCTCTGTCACCCAGGCTGGAGTGCAGTAGCACAATCACAGCTCACTGCAGCCTCAAACTCCTGGGTTCAAGCGATCCTCCCGCCTCAGCCTTCCGAGTAGCTAGAACCACAGTTGTGCTCCATCATGTCCAGCTAATTTAAATTTTTTTGTAGAGATGAAGTCTGGTCATGTTGCCTAGGCTTCAGTATCCTCCTTCCAGCTATTTGAAGCTCTCTGTGGTAACCGCAGTCTTCCTGCAGCGAGGTGGAACACAGGAGCGTATTCCCTCTGTCTAACTGTAACATTTTTTTCTTTAACACATCTCTCCCTCTCCCCCATCCCCCTACTCTTCTGTGACTTTATTGTTATTACTATTTTTTGAGACAGAGTCTTGCTCTGTTGCCCAGGCTGGAGTGCAGGGGCATGATCTTGGCTCACTGCAACCTCCGCCTCCCAGGTTAAAACAATTCTTGTGCCTCATCTTCCTGAGTAGCTGGGATTATAGATGCATACCACCATGCTCAGCTAATTTCTGTATTTTTAGTAGAGAAGAGGTTTTGCCATGTTGACTGGGCTGGTCTTGAACTCCTGGCCTCAAAGTGATCTGCCCACCTCGTCCTCCCAATGTGCTGGGATTACAGCTTTGAGCCACTGCACCCAGCTCTGTGTGACTTTTTAAAACACAAAACTTTTCATAAATTGGGATGCTGAACCTTTCCGTTGTCCTGGCAGCCTGAGGTATTTGGGAGCTTTAGTCATGCCACCCCCCTGGCTGGAGTAGAGTGTCGCTGTGTGGTGTGTCTTCGTTGTGCCATAGTCCTCCTGCGGCACGGTTAGATGGAGACCCTGGTGTCATGGGGTCCTGCTGGGCAGTGTGTGTGTGGCCTGTCAGTTCCGTGGTGGGGGCCGGAGTTTGTGTTCACCAGGCCAGAGTTGTGGTCTCTGGAGAAACTAACTCACCTGGGGCTGCCATCGCTTCTGTGAGACCCAGGATGAAAATGAGGGTCTTTCAGCCTCTCCTCCTGTGTGCCCCTTCGCCTTGCCTTCGGGCTACTCTCTAGGCCCTTGGTTGTCAGCGACTGGGTGAGGGCTGGTCAAGAGGGTGACACAACGAATCCTGCTCTGTCCCCCAGGCCGGAGTGCAGTGGTGTGATCTCAGCTCACTGCAACCTCCACCCCTCCTGGGTTCAAGTGATTTCTGCCTCAGCTTCCTGAGTAGCTGGAACTACAGGCGCCCACCACCATGCCTGGCTGATTTTTTTTTTTTTTTGATTTTTGTATTTTTATTAGAGATGGGGTTTCACCATATTGGCCAGGCTGGTCTCGAACTCTTGACTTTGTGATCCACCCACCTTGGCCTCCCAAAGTGCTGAGATTACAGGTCTGAGCCACCACACCCGGCAAAAGGCACATTTTTTCAATAATCAGCATAGATGTAGATACCCATTTGATCTAAAATATAGAGCCTTAAGCATACATCTGTGAGTTGCCTTTTAGAGACAAGCTTGTTGAGGTTCCTCCATAAGAAGGGAGCTGTCTGATGTGACCCTGAACTGGCGTCGTCCCCTTGATGTCTGCCACACCAGGTCTGTGGTTCTCTCGCAGGTGGTGAACATTACTGGGATTGCAGTTGGCACTGGCTTAGCCTCAGCTTGTGACACCCTCATGTCTCAGGTGAGGACCACCCTCCCCCACATACCTTTTTTTTTTGGCAGTTACCTTTCATAATGGAGACTGTCTAGGGAACCATCCACCCTGTGGGTTTTGCTGCTTTTTATTTGTCAAATACAGACGGTCCCCGACTTAGGTTTTTCAGCTCTGCGATGATACAACAGCGACACAAGTTCAGTAGCTGCACTTCCAGCCCCCACCCAACCATTCTGCTTTCCATGTTTAGTACCATCCAGTAGATTCCATGAGATAGTCAACGCTGTATCACAAAACAGGCTTTATCTGAGATGGTTTTACTAGCTACTGGAAGGCGGTGGGGGTTGGCGCTGGGGTGGGAGGATATCTGGAAGCCAGGAGTTCAAGGCTGCAGTGAGCCGAGGCTGCACCACTGCACTCCAGCCTGGGTGGCACAGCAAGACTCTGTCAAAAAACAAAACAAAACAACAAACCAGTAAACAAAACCAAAGTTGGGTGCAGTGGCTCACATTTGTAATCCCAGCAACTCAGAAGGCTCATCAGGCAGGATAGCTTGAGGCCAGGAGTTCAAGACCAGCCTGGGCAACATAGTGAGACCCTCCACCTCTGATAAAATTAAATATTAATAAAAATAAAATAAAAAGGAACTCTAGTATCTTCAGTCTTTGATTCTTCATCCCTCATTTTATCCCCTTGTCTTCTGGCAATAGAATTTCCTTCTTCTTTTACTTTTGGGATGAGCCACCTGGGATTCTGCTTGGATTGAGTTACCGCCTTCCAGGCTCAAGCGATTCTCCCACCTCAGCCTGCCAAGTAGCTGGGACCACAGGCGCATGCCCCCCTTCCTGGCTGACTTGTTGTAGAGCCAGGGTTTTGCCACGTTGCCCAGGAGTTTTTCCTTTAACGTGCTCCTGCTACTTACTATCTCTCTGCTCTCATGTGCTCTTATGCGAGCTCATGAGAGCAGAGAGATAGCAACAGGAGCTAAGAAACTCTAATCTGTGAAAAAATATTAAATATGAAATCGTGATAGCTATTAGCAATCCCAGATCCAGGCCGGAGAGCCAAGGGTCATCACTTTTTACAACAAGCTCTAAAATCTTCCACATATACCATGACCAAGGCACATCAAAACAACCCAAGGCTCCTCACGCCTCCACTTTTATCAGCCTGGGCCCAAGATAGCTGCGCATTGAATAGTCAATTTTGGGGGCTGGTGGAAATAACTTACCATGAGTATCTGTCCTAAAATATACTCCAAGCCACATGACCCATGTCTGGCATTCAATAGTGCCGGTGGCGTTCTTTAGGGTTGATCATAGCTCTAAGTGGTTCTCCTTTAAAGAGCACAGTCTCCTGGGAAAGGTGACCATTAAGCAGAACATCTAGGGCCGATCTTGCTTTTGCCCTGATGAGAGGGGCCAAGGGGCTTTGTAGAGCAGCAGAGGCTGTGACGGTGAACCTTACTGTTTTTAAAATTGTTCTTAAGAGGCCAGGTGCATTGGCTCACACCTGTAGTCCCAGGACTTTGAGGAGCAGAAGCAGAAGGATTGTCTGAGTCTGGGAGTTCAAGATTAGACTGAGCAACTCAGGGAGACCTCATCTCTACAAGAAATTTAAAGAAAATTAATCAGGCACGGTGGCACATGCCTATGGTCCCAGCTACTCGGGAGGCTGAGGTGGGAGAATCACCTGAGCCCAGAAGGTTGAGGTTTGCAGTGAGCCGAGCTCACACCACTGTGCTCCAGCTTGGATGACAGAATGAGACTGTCTCAAAAAAAAAAAAAAAAATTGTCCTCAAGTCTATGTGGATCCCTGACTAGGTTTGTGCCCTAGACAGACTTCTCTGAGGTTATTTCAGGTGGTGAGACTCTTTCCAACTTTATAACCCCTGTCTTCTGGAGGTCCCTTTGGGTGGCAGTAGATATGGGATTTGGTGTCTGACAGACCTGGGGACAGATCCCAGCTCCAAATGGCAGTCTCTTTACAGCTTACAGGGCAAATACTTGGCACTATGTGCTGATCTTTAGGAAGTCAGTCTGTATTTCATAACGAGTCACATGCGGATAATGAAGGCACGGCCTAAAATGCTCTTATTCATATTCCTGAGTCATCCCTGAGGGCCAGGCTTGGTGTTAGGCATGGGGCGGGGGAAGGGAGCAGGGCTGTGTGCAGAGGAGGATGCGATTCTTGCCTTGTCAGGGTTCCTGACCCGATGGCGACCCGGGGTGGAGTCTTCATAGTGACAGACACCACTGCAAGAGCAGACTCAGGCTATGCAACCCCCAGAGCAGGGCTCCTCACTCACCGGGATAGATAGAACCATTGGCCCTAATTCCTCAGCCCTCCCTGCACCCTCCGCTTGCATGGTTTTGTGCTGGGTGGAGGGTACTTTCTGCCCCCTAGCTTGGGGCTTGCCCACGTGGCTTGCTTTGGCCATGGAATGAAGCAGAAACGAAAGCCTGCCGGTTCCGAGCCCGCGGCCTGAAGACGCCTCAGGCGGTTCCGCCGCCCCCGTGCGCTTCCCCCTTCACCCAGAAGCCCTTCTCTGGTGCAGCCGCTGCTTCCTCAGCCGCGGCCCAGAAGGAACGGCCCCTGGCCAATCCGCAGGCCTGCAGGGAGCCGCAGAGCGCAGCAGCCGGCCCAGCGTTCAAGCCGAAGCCCAGGACTGCGAGAACCTTATTCTAGCCGCCGTTCTGGACGGTGGATTAGGACGCGTTGCTGTGGCAGAAGCTCAGTGCATGCACCCGCTCCTTCATTAGGCTATAGGGCCAGCGGCTGCGACAGGGACCTGATACAACAGTGCGTTAAATAAGGAGCTTATTGAGCTCTCCTGCCGTAAGGCGGTGGAGAAGTCCAGGGCCAGTGTGGGGGCTCCGGCCGGGGCTGCGGCCCATCCGCGTGGAACCTCACTCTGGTTCGCAGGTTGCGGTTTTAGGAGCCTTCAGCCTGGCGAGCCCCAAACGGTCCACAGGGCGGCGCCAGACCCTCTTCCCAGCGCCACCTCTAAAGCCTTGGCTCCAACCAGTTCCGCTTCTGCTTCAGGCTCGGGATTTTCACTCTTCTCAAATGGGGGTGGCCCTCTCCCGATCTTCTGAGTCGCAACACCATCTCTTTCCTCCAGGACCTCAGAGCCAGAGCTAGGCGAGGTCCTGACCTCCAGGGTCGGGGTGGCGTCCCTGTGAAGATGCGGTCCTTCCTCCCGTCCCCAGGCTCCCGGCCTCTCCCACCCTCAGCCCCCTGCTCACTTCCAGCTGAAGACGCCGGCGCACCTCTGCTCCCTTCCCGCTCTCTCTGCAGTACCGCAGAGTGAGCACACAAGGGCTTAATAGAGGCTTTGCTGGGCGCGGGGCTCCCGTCTGTAATCCCAGTACTTTGGGAGACCAAGGCGGGAGGATCACTTGAGGCCGGGAGTTCAAAACCAGCCTGGGGAAAAAAGTGAGGCCCATCTTTTAAAAAAAATAAAGGAATAAAAGAGGTCCCCTTTTCTGGGAGATTGATATAGGAGAGCAGGCATGTGAGTTAGAAGGGAGGCATTGAGGATCAGCCATTTAAAGCAGCCTCCAAGGATATTCACGGCTAGAGATCCACAGGTGTATTTTCAGAAACTGAATTTCCTGGTGGGGTACAGTGGCTCACGCCTGTAATCCCAGCACTTTGGGAGGCCAAGGTGGGTGGATCACTTGAGCTGAGGAGTTAAAGACCAGCCTGGCCAACATGGTGAAACTGTTTTTACAAAAAAATATATAAAAAGTATTCGGGTGTGGTGGTGGGTGCCTGTAATCCTAACTATTCAAGAGGCTGAGGCAGGAGAATCACTTGAACCTGGGAGGCAGAGGTTGCAGTGAGCCAAGATCACGCTACTGCACTCCAGGCTGGGCGACAGAGTGAGACTGTCTCCAAACACACACACACACACACCCCAAAACAGGCTGGGTGGATCACCTGAGGTCAGGAGTTCCAGACCAGCCTGAGCAACATGGTGAAACTCCATTTCTACTAAAAATACAAAAATTAGCTGGGGTGGTGGTGCATGCCTCTAACCCAGACTAGGGAGGCTGAGGCAGGAGAATTGCTTGAACCCAGGAGGCAGAAGATGCAGTGAGCCAAGATCGTGCCATTACACTCCAGACTGGGCAATAAGAGTGAAACTCCATCTCAAGAAAAAAAAAAAAAACCTAAATTTCCCTGTAGACACCTTTACTCTGGCAGCCTTTTTCAATGATGGCTGTTTTCTTCAAGTATACTATATGGCCTGCAGACCACTCAGCTTTCATTCTAGTGAGAACATTCCAGAATGAACTTTGGGTCACTCCCAAGTGCTTCTTCAATCAACTCAGAGAGGCTGGTTGTGTGTCAACTGCTGCCCAGCTAGAATGACACCTCTCCAGGCCTCTGACTTAACTAGGTCTTCACCATGTGACTCCACCGTGGACTCCCACCTTATTCTTTTGCAAAGCCTCGGACACCCAAACAAAAGTGGGTAAAGGGCCAGGAGGGGGGTGCACCCCAACTCCACAAAAACCCTTCCAGACCTCACCCTGTGTTATTCTTCATCTGGCTCTTCATTTGTATCCTTTAATGTATCCTTGGTAATAAATCAGTAATAGTAGATAAACTGTTTTCCTGGGTTCTGTGAGCTGCTCTAGCAAATGGCCAAACCTGAGGAGGGAGTTGTGGGGACCTCCAATTTATAGCCAGTTGGTCAGATGCATAGGTGATGCCTGGCCTTGCAACTGGGATCTGATGTGGGGGTGGTCCTGTGTGACTGAGCCCTTAACCTGTGGAGGTTGATGCTCACTCTGCTTAGGGGTTCTCTGCCTTTGTAGTGTTCCGTCTAGAAGGCCTCTCCTTCCTCTTGTCAGCTCAGAAACCTTGTCTTCCACTTCCCTTCTTCTAAGCTGACTCTTACATCTACTCCTTTCCAGCTGACCAAGAGCAGAACCACACCTGGCTCCACTGCCACTATGCCGACCCATGCTGTCTACTCAGGATGTATTCAGATGTCCGTTCCTCCCCCCAGTCTAGGAGCCCTTTGAGAGGGATGCTGTCCTAGTCAACTCTTTCCCAGCACCAGGCACAGCATCTGGCACATTCTGTCTTTTTCAAGGACTCTTCCCAGGCGGCCTGACCTTCCCTCCTCTGAACTGCTGCCTTTCTTGTCTGCATCGTGTTTACCCTAATCAGATATCACCTTATTTCGTTGTTTTTCCAAATGCTTTATTTCTCCGGCAGGTTTAATTGGAATCAGAATTTTTATTCATTTGGTAGCTGTTGGCCTTGCGTCCACCTCTCTCTGGCACTCAGGTCTCACTTAAGAGCTGGCCCTCTGAGCCGTGGTTTGCCGTCAGTGAGATGGAGACAGGGGCAGTCCTAGGCAGTCATGTTTTGTTCCACCTGACCCTGGGCACCCCTCCCTCTCCCAGGGGACAGGCAGGGATGGATACCAGCCTGGGAGACACAGCTCATCCACAGGCTGGCCCAGCAGAAACTCTGGGCTCAGCCAAAACTGCTCAGTTGAGGACAAACTGGGCAAAGTAGAATATTACTCTTGGGAGTTTTTAGAAATATGGTGGGGTAGCATTTGGGAATAATAAGATTTGTAGCTGGGTATGGTGGTGCATGCCTGTAGCTCCCAGCTACTCTGGAGACTGAAGCAGGAGGATCTTTAGAGCCCAAGAGCTTGAGGCTACAGTGAGCTATGAATGTACCACTGCACTCCAGCCTGGGTGACAAATCAAGACCCTGTCTCCAAAAAACATGTACACATTTGAGATACATAAAATATATTTAAAAATTAAGCATAAAAATTATATAAATATGCCAAAATAGGAACCTGGAGATGCTTGGAATCCAGACTTTGGGAGCCTAGCAGTGCAAGGATCTCTAGTCTTGGCTTTTTCTTTGAGCTGGAGTCTTGCTCTGTCCCATGCTGGTGTGCAGTGGTGTGATCTCGGCTCACTGCAACCTCTGCCTCCTGGGTTCAAGCAGTTCTCCCTGCCTGAGCCTCCCGAGTAGCTGGGATTACAGGCACGCATCACCACCCCAGCTAATTTTTTTATTTTTTAGTAGAGATGGGGTTTCGCCATGTTGGCCAGGCTGGTCTTGAATTCCGGACCTCAGGTGGTCCACCCACCTCAGCCTCCCAAAGTGCTGGGATTACAGATGAGAGCCACCATGCCCAGCCTAGTCTTGGCTTCTTGTCAGCTCCCTGCTTATGTCTAACACTCACCCCATTACAGAGCTGGTGTGGGTGTCTGTCCTGGTGACTTAACAGTGTAACTGAAGTGCTTAGCACTGTACCTGGACCACAGCTGGTGCCCAGTAAACAGCAGCTGTCATCATCCTCACCATCACCATATTATTGTTACTGACTCTTTGATGGCAACCATAGCTCATCCCCCTCTATCTCCCATGCCCTACAGCAGGGCAGTGGAATGGTTAAGAGGCTTTGAAGTCCAACAGGCCTGGTGTAAAACGCTAACTTGTCGTTTTCGATGTGTGGCCTTGGACACTTGGGCAGGTCACCTATGTTCCTCGAGCCCTGTTTCCTTATGTCAGATGATAATTTTAAAAACTATGCTTCCATGGATTGCTGGGCTAAATAATGTAAGACTGTAAAATTCCTAACCCAGGGTTTGGCATCAAGTAAGCAAATTGTAAATGGTAGCTGCTGCTCTGCCTATACTTATAACTATTTAGTGTTGTGCTTTCCACTCAAATATTTGCTCACTGAAGTCATTACACAGAAAGACACTTTTCAGTCTCAGTAAGGAACTTGGGGAGGTAACTGGGGCAGGCAGCAAGAGAACAGGTGTCTTTTCTTTTTTTTTTGAGACAGAGTCTCACTCTATCACCCAGGCTGGAGTGCCATGGTGCAATCTCAGCTCACTGCAACCTCCACCTCCTGGGTTCAAGTGATTCTCCTGCCTCAGCCTCCGAGTAGCTTGGACTACAGGTGCATACCACCATGCCCAATTAAGTTTTTGTATTTTTATTAGAGATGGGGTTGCACTGTGTTAGCCAGGATGGTCTCAACCTCCTGACCTCATGATCCCAAAGTGCTGGGATTACAGGCATGAGCCACCGCACCTGGCCCGAGAACAGGTGTCTTTTGTCCGGCTTCAGCAAACTCATTGGAACTGATGGGCGACTAGCTTTGCTTAGAACCCCCACCAGCACGCACGCGGGGCTGCTTCTCAGTCATACTGCTCCTGGGAGCAGTCATACTGCTGTTCTGCAGTTGGCACCATTCTTTACCTCCTATTACTGAACTGCCAGCATTCACTTGTGTTCTGTTAGGTAGATTACCAATTCTTGTTCATTCAGATTTTCTTTTGCTCACTAATGTGTTTAACGTTCACTAACTTACCAAATGGGACTTATTAGTGACTTTTTCTTTGAAGATGGAGTGGAGGAATCCTTGCGCCTTCTGCAGTATTCTACTGCTGGTATGGAACAGTGCAGCTATGGATGTGCATCAGTGAGGGATCGGGAGAGGCTAGGGGAGTACATGTGAATGGAGACATAGCCGCACCAGCATGTTTTCTGAAATATAGTCTTGCAGAGGGCAGTTTGGGAAATTACTGCTCTCACACACTCTTTTTGACCCTACCCCTCTAGCATCTCTCTGCTATCCAAGGCTTGGGATTTTTAAAAAGAAAAACAACAACTACAGAACCAAAAAAAAAATGTGAATTTTCCACCATTTTATAAGGGTGAAAAGCCCCCTCCCATGTCTGGACGAACATGCATGCATGGGTTTGAGGGCTTGGGAAAAAGACAGGGCTTGGCCCCACAGTGCAGGTAGGCCCAGTGATCCTATGAGAGGGGCCGAGAGGTGGGGGAGGTCCCCTGTGGACAGGAGGTCAAGTATGTTGTATTATATGACTGATGCTTGATGAACCAGGGGAGAGGGCACCAAGAACCACAGTATTTAATTGTAAAATCTCCACCCCCTGAGGGTAGGTTTTCAGGTCTGGGTGACTAATTAGACTGGGAAACAAGGGAGGGCAAGATGGCCCTGTGCTTCCCCTGCCTCCTGCCTCTGGTGGATGCATGGGCCACTGGCTTCAGTACTGTTTCTTTCTGATGGCCTTGCAAGTATTTGTCAGAAAGCCTGAGGTGGACTGGGGTCACTACAGCAGGGCCTCACTGTCCTCCCCCTTAGCAGTGGACTCTCCGGTTGGGGTGTTCTCTGATGGAGTTTCTGCTGGGGCTTTGCTGTCCCTGGGATAAGAATAACAATGGCAAGGTTTTAATTCTTGAAAGGAGCAATTAAGCTTCTCATCCCCTCCTCATTTTAGATGGGAACTGTGAGGGCCCATCATTTCCCCCTCCTCATTTTAGATGGGAACTGTGAGGGCCCATCATTTCCCCCTCCTCATTTTAGATGGGAACTGTGAGGGCCCATCATTTCCCCCTCCTCATTTTAGATGGGAACTGTGAGGGCCCATCATTTACCCCCTACTCATTTTATTTATTTATTTATTTTTAAATTTTATTTATTTTTTTTAAAATTTTTTATTGCATTTTAGGTTTTGGGGTACATAAGCAGAACATGCAAGACAGTTGCGTAGGTACACACATGGCAGTGTGTTTTGCTTCCTTTCTCCCCTTCACCCACATTTGGCATTTCTCCCCAGGCTATCCCTCCCCACCTCCCCCTCCCACTGGCCCTCCCCTTTCCCCCCAATAGACCCCAGTGTTTAGTACTCCCCTCCCTGTGTTCATGTGTTCTCATTTTTCATCACCCGCCTATGAGTGAGAATATGCGGTGCTTCATTTTCTGTTCTTGTGTCAGTTTGCTGAGGATGATGTTCTCCAGATTCATCCATGTCCCCACAAATGACACAAACTCATCATTTCTGATTGCTGCATAATATTCCATGGTGTATATGTGCCACATTTTTCCAATCCAGTCTATCATCAATGGGTATTTGGGTTGATTCCATGTCTTCGCTATTGTAAACAGTGCTGCAATGAACATTCGTGTACATGTGTCCTTATAGTAGAACGATTTATAGTCCTTTGGGTATATACCCAGTAATGGGATTGCTGGGTCAAATGGAATCTCTATTTCTAAGGCCTTGAGGAATCGCCACACTGTCTTCCACAATGGTTGAACTAATTTACACTCCCACCAACAGTGTAAAAGTGTGCCTTTTTCTCCACATCCTCTCCAGCATCTGTTGTCTCCAGATTTTTTAATGATCGCCATTCTAACTGGCGTGAGATGGTATCTCAATGTGGTTTTGATTTGCATCTCTCTGATGACCAGTGACGATGAGCATTTTTTCATATGATTGTTGGCCTCATATATGTCTTCTTTCGTAAAGTGTCTGTTCATATCCTTTGCCCCCTTTTGAATGGGCTTGTTTGTTTTTTTCCTGTAAATCTGTTTGAGTTCTTTGTAAATTCTGGATATCAGCCCTTTGTCAGATGGGTAAACTGCAAAAATTTTTTCCCATTCTGTTGGTTGCCGATTCACTCTAGTGACTGTTTCTTTTGCTGTGCAGAAGCTGTGAAGTTTCATTAGGTCCCATTTGTCTATTTTGGCTTTTGTTGCCAATGCTTTTGGTGTTTTGTTCATGAAGTCCTTGCCTACTCCTGTGTCCTGGATAGTTTTGCCTAGATTTCCTTCTAGGGTTTTTATCGTGCCAGGTCTTATGTTTAAGTCTTTAATCCATCTGGAGTTAATTTTAGTGTAAGGTGTCAGGAAGGGATCCAGTTTCTGCTTTCTGCACATGGCTGGCCAGTTTTCCCAACACCATTTGTTAAACAGGGAATTCTTTTCCCATTGCTTATTTTTGTCAGGTTTATCAAAGATTGTATAGTTGTAGATATGTTGTGTTGCCTCTGGTGCCTCTGTTTTGTTCCATTGATCTATATCTCTGTTTTGGTACCGGTACCATGCTGTTTTGATTACTGTAGCCTCGTAGTATAGTTTGAAATCTGGTAGTGTGATGCCCCCCGCTGTGTTCTTTTTGCTTAGAATTGACTTGGCTATGCGGGCTCTCTTTTGGTTCTATATGAAGTTCATGGTGGTTTTTTCCAGTTCTGTGAAGAAAGTCAATGGTAGCTTGATGGGGATAGCGTTGATTCTGTAAATTACTTTGGGCAGTATAGCCATTTTCACGATATTAATTCTTCCTAACCATGAACATGCAATGTTTCTCCATCTGTTTGTGTCCTCTATGATTTTGTTGAGCAGTGGTTTGTAGTTTTCCTTGAAGAGGTCCCTTACGATACTTGTGAGTTGTATTCCAAGGTATTTTATTCTTTTTGTAGCAATTGTGAATGGCAGTTCGTTCTTTATTTGGCTTTCTTTAAGTCTGTTATTGGTGTAGACAAATGCTTGTGATTTTTGCACATTGATTTTGTATCCTGAGACTTTGCTGAAGTTGCTTATCAGTTTCAGGAGTTTTTGGGCTGAGGCGATGGGGTCTTCTAGGTATACTATCATGTCGTCTGCAAATAGAGACAATTTGGCTTCCACCTTTCCTATTTGAATACCCTTTATTTCTTTTTCTTGCCTGATTGCTCTGGCTAGAACTTCCAGTACTATATTGAATAGGAGTGGTGAAAGAGGGCATCCTTGTCTAGTGCCGGATTTCAAAGGGAATGCTTCCAGTTTTTGCCCGTTCAGTATGATATTGGCTGTTGGTTTGTCATAGATAGCTTTTATTACTTTGAGATACGTTCCATCGATACCGAGTTTATTGAGGGTTTTTAGCATAAAGGGCTGTTGAATTTTGTCAAATGCCTTCTCTGCGTCAATTGAGATAATCATGTGGTTTTTGTTTTTGGTTCTGTTCATGTGGTGAATTACGTTTATAGACTTGCGTATGTTGAACCAGCCTTGCATCCCCAGGATGAATCCTACCTGATCATGATGAATACGTTTTTTGATTTGCTGTTGCAATTGGCTTGCCAATATTTTATTGAAGATTTTTGCATCTATGTTCATCATGGATATTGGCCTGAAGTTTTCTTTTCTTGTTGGGTCTCTGCCAGGTTTTGGTATCAGGATGATGTTGGTCTCATAAAATGATTTGGGAAGGATTCCCTCTTTTTGGATTATTTGGAATAGTTTTAGAAGGAATGGTACCAGCTCCTCTTTGTGTGTCTGGTAGAATTCGGCTGTGAACCCGTCTGGACCTGGGCTTTTTTTGTGTGGTAGGCTCTTAATTGCTGCCTCGACTTCTGCCCTTGTTATTGGTCTATTCATAGTTTCAGCTTCCTCCTGGTTTAGGCTTGGGAGGACACAGGAGTCCAGGAATTTATCCATTTCTTCCAGGTTTACTAGTTTATGTGCATAGAGTTGTTTGTAATATTCTCTGATGATGGTTTGAATTTCTGTGGAATCTGTGGTGATTTCCCCTTTATCATTTTTTATTGCATCTATTTGGTTGTTCTCTCTTTTATTTTTAATCAATCTGGCTAGTGGTCTGTCTATTTTGTTGATCTTTTCAAAAAACCAGCTTTTGGATTTATTGATTTTTTGAAGGGTTTTTTGTGTCTCAATCTCCTTCAGTTCAGCTCTGATCTTAGTTATTTCTTGTCTTCTGCTGGGTTTTGAGTTTTTTTTATCTTGCTCCTCTAGCTCTTTCAATTTTGACGATAGGGTGTCAATTTTGGATCTCTCCGTTCTCCTCATATGGGCACTTATTGCTATATACTTTCCTCTAGAGACTGCTTTAAATGTGTCCCAGAGATTCTGGCATGTTGTGTCTTCGTTCTCACTGGTTTCGAAGAACTTCTTTATTTCTGCCTTCATTTCATTGTTTACCCAGTCAACATTCAAGAGCCAGTTGTTCAGTTTTCATGAAGCTGTGCAGTTCTGGGTTAGTTTCTGAATTCTAACTTGATTGCACTATGGTCTGAGAGGCTGTTTGTTATGATTTCAGTTGTTTTGCATTTGCTGAGCAGTGCTTTACTTCCAATTATGTGGTCAATTTTAGAGTAGGTGTGATGTGGTGCTGAGAAGAATGTATATTCTGTGGATTTGGGGTGGAGAGTTCTGTAAATGTCTATCAGGTTTGCTTGCTCCAGGTCTGAGTTCAAGCCCTGGATATCCTTGTTGATTTTCTTTCTGGTTGATCTGTCTAATATTGACAGTGGAGTGTTAAAGTCTCCCACTATTATTGTATGGGAGTCTAGGTCTCTTTGTAAGTCATTAAGAACTTGCCTTATGTATCTGGGTGCTCCTGCATTGGGTCCATATATGTTTAGGATCGTTAGCTCTTCTTGTTGTATCGATCCTTTTACCATTATGTAATGGCCTTCTTTATCTCTTTTCATCTTTGTTGCTTTAAAGTTTATTTTATCAGAGATGAGAATTGCAACTCCTGCTTTTCTTTGCTCTCCATTTGCTTGGTAAATCTTCCTCCATCCCTTTATTTTGAGCCTTTGTGTATCCTTGCATGTGAGATGGGTTTCCTGGATACAGCACACTGATGGGTTTTGGCTTTTTATCCAATTTGCCAGTCTGTGTCTTTTGATTGGTGCATTTAGTCCATTTACATTTAGGGTTAATATTGTTATGCATGACTTCGATACTGCCATTTTGATGCTAAGTGGCCATTTTGCCCGTTAGTTGTTGTAGATTCTTCATTATGTTGATGCTCTTTAGCATTTAGTGTGATTTTGGAATGGCTGGTACTGGTTGTTCCTTTCTATGTGTAGTGCCTCTTTTAGGAGCTCTTGTAAAGCAGGCCTGGTGGTGACAAAATCTCTGAGTACTTTCTTGTTCGCAAAGGATTTTATTTTTCCTTCACTTATGAAGCTCAGTTTGGCTGGATATGAAATTCTGGGTTGAAAGTTCTTTTCTTTAAGAATATTGGCCCCCACTCTCTTCTGGCTTGTAGTGTTTCTGCCGAGAGATCTGCTGTGAGTCTGATGGGCTTCCCTTTGTGGGTGACCCGACCTTTCTCTCTGGCTGCCCTTAGTATTTTCTCCTTTATTTCAACCTTGTTGAATCTGACGATTATGTGCCTTGGGGTTGCTCTTCTTGCAGAATATCTTTGTGGTGTTCTCTGTATTTCCTGCATTTGAGTGTTGGCCTGTCTTGCTAGGTGGGGGAAATTTTCCTGGATGATGTCCTGAAGAGTATTTTCCAGCTTGGATTCATTCTCTTCGTCCCCTTCTGGTACACCTATCAAATGTAGGTTAGGTCTTTTCACATAGTCCCACATTTCTTGGAGACTTTGTTCATTCCTTTTTGCACTTTTTTCTCTGATCTTGGTTTCTCATTTTATTTCATTGAGTTGATCTTCGACTTCAGATATTCTTTCTTCTGCTTGGTCAATTCGGCTATTGAAACTTGTGCATGCTTCGCGAAGTTCTCGTATTGTGTTTCTCAGCTCCTTTAATTCATTCATATTCCTCTCTAAGTTATCCATTCTTGTTATCATTTCCTCACATCTTTTTTCATATCTTTCTTCAAGGTTCTTAGTTTCTTTGCATTGATTTAATACATGTTCTATTAGCTCACAAAAGTTTCTCATTATCCACCTTTTGAAGTCTAATTCCGTCATTTCATCACAGTCATTCTCCGTCCAGCTTTGTTCCCTTGCTGGTGAGGAGTTTTGATCCTTTCTAGGAGGCGAGGTGTTCTGGTTTTGGGTGTTTTCCTCCTTTTTGCGCTGGTTTCTTCCCATCTTTGTGGATTTATCCACTTGTTGTCTGCATAGTTGCTGACTTTCCGATTGGGTCTCTGAGTGGACACCCAGATTTTTGGTGAAGTATTTCTGTTACTTGGTTTTCCTTCTACCAGTCTAGCCCCTTCGCTGTACGACTGCTGAGGTCCACTCTAGGCCCTGCTTGTCTGGGGTGCACCTATAGCAGCTGCGGAACAGTGAGGGATGCTACCAGTTTCTTTTTCTGCTATCTTTGTCCCAGGATGATGCCTGCCAAACGTCAGTCTTTTGGATATAGAGGGGTCAGGGAGCTGCTTGAGGAGACAGGAGCAGCTCCCTGTACTTTATAGGAGCTCAATTGCTGAGCTATGAGCTCTGTTGTTCATTCAGGGCTGTTAGGCTGCTATGTTTGATTCTGCTGCAACAGAGCTCATTAAAAAACCCTTTTTTTCTCAAATGTTCTGTCTTGGGGGGTTGGGGCTTCATTTTTGGATGTCCGTTGAGGTGTCCTGCCCAGCTAGGAGGCAGTCTGGTCACTATTTGCCTGCTGAGGCTCTGCCCTGCTGTTGTGAGGGTCGCCCTGTTGCTGCAGGCTCTACTCTTCTGCTGCGGTCTCCGCCATGGGCTATGCCCTGCAGTGGAGGCTCTCTGTTGTAGCGGGTTGCCTCGGCAATGGCAGGCTGCGTCAGCAGTGGGCGTGTATCTCAGTAGGGGCGGGTTGCCTCAGCAACGGCAGGCTGAGTCAGCAGTGGGCGTGTATCTCAGTAGGGGCCGGTTGCCTCGGTAATGGTGGATGCCCCTCCCATACGGAGCGTCTCAGGGACCGTCTCCACGGGGAGCGTTTGGAATCGCCCTTTTGTCCGTCCCACTGTGCTACCCCACACGCTGTGTCCCTGCAATCCCTTGGGCTGGCCCACTGTCCAAGACCTGTTCAGTCTCAAGTTCAGCCCTCTCAAGTCTCAGGTTGCCAGTTCAACAGGGCACCCGGACAAGCACGCTCTGTGGAGAGCGCTGGGTAGGGCCGGCCGCCGCCACCCCGGCTGCCAGCTTCACCAGGCCGAGCCTCTGCCAGGCGTCCCGCGTCTCCTTTATACTTGGGAATTTCCCCGTTCTGTGGGCAACAAAGATCAGTCTGAAAATGCAGCTCTGACTCACCTCTCTGCGGATTCAGCGAGAGCTTCAATCCTCCCCTTCCTCATTTTAGATGGGAACTGTGAGGGCCCATCATTTACCCCCTCCTCATTTTAGATGGGAACTGTGAGGGCCCATCATTTACCCCCTCCTCATTTAGATGGGAACTGTGAGGGCCCATCATTTACCCCCTCCTCATTTTAGATGGGAACTGTGAGGGCCCATCATTTACCCCCTCCTCATTTTAGATGGGAACTGTGAGGACCCATCATTTACGAAGTGTACCTGTTGAAGATCTCGTCCTCACTGGCAGACTCCCTGTCATGCAGCTTCAGTGCCATTTTTTTCACATGTGTGGCACTGAGAGGTCTGTACATATCCCTAAGCCAGAGTGGCCATCTTAAACAAAAGCCACCCTAGAAGATAGAAAGGGAAATATTAATTTTGCATGTCTTCTGCTTTCTCTGGCCACAGCAATGAATCCTGCTCCAATGTACCTGAATCATACTTTTCGGTGAGGATGTCCTGTGTGGCAGACCTCTGGAAATGCCCCTGGGGAGACACAGGCACAAGACAGTGAGTGATGCTGCTGTTTCCCACGTCTCTCACATTGTACTTTTCTGGTCTTAATTAGGACTAAATGAGTACCTCAGTCCAAAATCACAGGGAGCAGAACCACTGCAAACCACATACCTGGGGTCTTGAAAATAATTCCATTGCAGGTGGGACTTTTAGAAGCTCTCCCTGTCTGTCCAGAAGGGCCCCACAATATAGCTGGAGGGACTTTGTGTATGGCTCAGCATGGAGCACGGGGAGGATGTTCAGTCCCAAGCGCCCTTGTACAGTGAACAAATGGCACAACCATGCTAGGCAGAAACATTTTACATCAGTCCCCTTCGGACTTGGTCTCAAGGGCATCATTTGATGGGGGGTGGAAGATGAGGTCGCTTTTTTTTTTCTAGATGCTTTATTTGCTTTATTCTATAAGTTGAATCACCTCAAGCAAGTGCCTGAGTGCAACTAGCCAAGTTGTGTATCTCATAGATCTTCATACAGCAGGCTGTCACTGGTAAGTGAGTGAGCTGTGACATCAGCTTAAAGGACAACATATTCTTTTGAATGTGAATAAAATAGAAAAAGCCAGAGTGCATTGTGTGACCATGGGGCAAGACACTCTCCCTTTCTCGTTCTCAGGTTTCCTATCACAAAGGACAAACTACTGTCTAAAGTCTCTCCTATTTCTTTCTTTCTTTTTTTTTTTGAGACCAGTTTCGCTCTTTTTGCCTAGGCTGGAGGGCAAATGGCATGACCTTGGCTCACTGCAACCTCTACCTTCTGGGTTCAAGCGGTTCTCCTGCCTCAGCCTCCCAGGTAGCTGGGATTATAGGTGTGTGACAGCATGCCTGGCTAATTTTGTATTTTTATTAGAGACGGGGTTTTGTCATGTTGGTGAGGTTAGTCTCCAACTCCTGACCTTAATTGATGCACCTGCCTCAGCCTCCCAAAGTGCTGGGATTATAGGTGTGAGCCACCTGGCCTGGCCTTCCTAGGTAAAATTCTGTGAGGTTTGTATAAAAGGAATAGAGTGAGAGCCCAAAAACCAGTAAGATGAAAAAGTAGTGTTTCCCCAGTTCTCGGATCCAGGGAAAAAAGAAAGGAAAAAAAAAAAAAGAAAGTAGTGTTTCCTGCCACTTTAGAGGAAGGACTCACATATTCTTCCTTCCATCAGCCTTGATGGAGACTAGCGCCCTCACTCCAACACCAGGTGGCCTTCCCTGCCCCTTCCCCAGAGCCTCCAAGAAGACCCCTAGCCTGCCACCACCAGCAGGAACAGGTACCAAAACCTTTCCCCTTCCTGTCCCTTCCCACCTCCCCAAAGGGTTGGGGACATCAGCTGTGTCCCTGTTAGTTTCATCCAGCTCAGCTTTGGCTGGGGAGCTAATTTCAGGGGTGTCAGGCTAAGCATTAGGGTAAGTAAGTATTCTTCCTGTCTTGGGTAGTTTCCTCCCTGAAAAATGAGGACAGAGTTCTAAGCTTTCCTCTATTTCCTAAATTATAATTTAAAAATTGCTGGATTGGCTGGGTGCAGTGTCTCACACCTGTAATCCGAGCACTTTGAGAGGCTGAGGTGGGTGGATCACGAGGTTAGGAGTTTGAGACCAGCCTGGCCAACATGGTGAAACCCTGACTCTACTAAAGATACAAAAAATTAGCCGGGCATGGTGGTATGTGCCTGTAATCCCAGCTACTCAGGAGGCTGAGGCAGGAGAATCACTTGAACCTGGAAGGTGGAGGTTGCAGTGAGCTGAGTTTGTGCCCTTGCACTCCAGCCTGGGCGACAGGGCGAGACTCTGAATTAAAAAAAAAAAAAAAAAATCACCAGACTAATATTTACCTTCGGAATTCTTCTTCATCGTCCTTTGGTGCCCTTCTATGATGGTATATCTGTTTTGGAAGAAAACACAATTAAGATTACCCATCACAACCACCACTATCTCCAAATCTGTATTTATTCCTTTTATTCATTATAAGACTCATCCACCTGAGGACAGAACTTTTTGGAGACAGGAATTGTATGTTGTTTATAGTGCTTTGATTCCTGCACAGTACACTAATCCTTGATATCTTATAGGGGATTGGTTTTAGGATACTGCCCCCACACCATACCAGAATCTGTGGATGCTCAATCCCTTACATATAATGATGCAGTATTTGCATATAACCAACACATATCCCCCGTATACTTTATTTAGAGACGATCACCCTGTGTTGCTCAGGCTGGAGTGCAGTGGCACAATCACAGCTCACTGCAGCCTCAGCCTCCTGGGCTTCAGTGATCTGTCTAACTCAGTCTCTTGAGTAGCTGGGACTACAGGTGCCCACCACCATACCTGATTTTTTTATTTTTAGTAAAGACCACATCTCACTATGCTGCCCAGGCTGGTCAAGCGATCCTCCCATCTTGGCTTCCCAAAGTGGGAATTACAATTACAATCCCGCACTTGGGATTACAAGTGTGAACCATCATGCCTGGCCCCATGTACTTTAAGTCATCACTAATAAAATGTATAGATATTGTATAATGGTGACAGTTGTTCTGCTGTACTTTCTATTTGTATTTTCATGCTGTTTTTTTCAAATATTCAGCCTCATCTAGTTGAATCTGAAGATGTGGACCTACTGATGCAGAGGGCTGACTGTATCTAACTTAGGGTCTTACATGCAGCTGGCACTTAATATATTTTATTGACTGTTTTAGATAAAATTCAACAGATAATTCCTAATAAAAACTCTTAAAAGTAGGAAAAAAGGAAACCCGAGTCCTTCCTCTAAAATGGCAGGAAAACCAGCCTGGGCAACATAGCAAGACCTTGTCTCTACAAAAAAAATTTTTTAATTAGCTGCTGGCCTGTAGTCCCAGCCAATCAGAAAGCTGAGGTAGGAGGATCCCTTAAGCCCCAGACTTTGAGATTACAGTGACTGCTCTCCAGCCTGGGTGAAAACAGGCTCTGAAAAGGAAAAAAGGAAGGAAGGAAGGAAGGAAGGAAGAGAGGGAGGAAGGGGGAGGGAAGGAAGGAAGAAAGGAGGGAGGGAAGGAAGGAAAGAGGGAAGGAAGGAAGGAGGGAGGGAGGGAAGGGGGAAGGGGAGGGGGAAGGAAGGGAAGGAGGGAAGGAAGGGAGGGAGGGAAGAAAGTAGAGTATAACTATTGGAAAGGAAGAGAGAAAATTATCATTATTTGCATATGAAATGATAAATATTAGACAGCCAAAAAAGCCTAAGAGAATCAACTAACATTTTACTGGAAGTAATATAAGAATTCAGTATGGTGGCTAAATACAAAATCAAGAGATCAGCATACAAAAATTTTTTTTTAAAAAGATGGCTACCTCAGATACTTTTCCCATGTACCACCAATAACTAATTAGAAAATGGAAGTAAGATCCCATTTACAATGGCGATAAAAATGTATGAAGTATTTAGGAACAAAAATACAAAGATCTTTTATCTAACAGAAGATGTGTAAGATCTGTATGATGGAAACAGACTCTTCTGAAAGACATTCAAAAAAATGAATACATGACAAGAGATGTCACGTTCCTAGAATGTTGTACAGATGTTACTTGTCAAATTAATCTGCAAATTTAGTGTGATCCTATTCAAATCCCAAGACAGTTTTTGGTGGTGGCTATTTTTGAGACAGGGTCTTGCTCTGCTGCCCAGGCAAGAATGCAGTGGTATGACCATAGCTCACTGCATCCTCGACCTCCCAGGCTCAAGCAATCCTCCCACTTCAGCCTCTGAAGTCTCTCATATGGCGTCTAAGAAATGGTGACAAATCTCACAAAGGGAGTAGGCTCAAAAGGGCTGGAGTATTCAGGGAAGGTGTCAAGAAGAAAGACGAACTTGAGATGGCTTTTGAGAGATTCATAGGATTCCCTCAGGCAGAGTGAAACAAGGGAATTTTAAATGGACAAAGGTACAGACAAAAGCAGAAATGGGCATGGTGTGACCAGGGTATGGTGAGGGGCTGCTCTGGCTGGAATGGAGGGCTGCCACAATAATGGAAATGGTGAGTGAAAGCGTCAAGGTTGCCAGCTTATTAACTCACTCTTCCAATATGCTAGCACTGGCCTTTTGGGAAAAGTAATACATCATGTAATTGAACAAAAGGTAAACAGAGGCAAGCTCTGGGAATGGGCGCTATAAACAGGACTCGCCCCAGAGTAGCCAGATACAGGCTTTAGATATGTAATGCAGAGTGAGCATCCCTAATCCAAGGAGAAATGTCTCATATGGTGTCTGAGAAATGGTGACACATCTCACAGAGAGCCTGGGCTCAGGAGGGCTGGAGTATGAGACATTCCCCCTCCCCTGTGAACTTAAATAAGTGGCCAACTACTTTTTAAAAGATGGCTACCCTGTAGTGCTTTAACTGGACCTATTTAGACAATGCCCTACACACTGGAGAAGGAAGACACTGTATGAGTGTGGTAAGTCTACAAGACGAGACCTCTCTTTTGCCTTGTCCTTCCTCTCCAGGGTGATGACACCTCTGTGAGGGTGGAGATTATACATTTCTCTTCATTTCAACAACAAGGAAGTAAATTAGTGGCAGAGTACATTCAATTGTTGACATAGTTTTGGGTGGGAGAAATTTTGCCATTATATCAACTTAATTTCTTAAAATAGTCTAGTGGGATTAACTTAATTTCAATTGACAGAAATGTCCTGGAAGTGACGATCCTTTAAAAATCCTGGAATATACATTACAGTAAAAGAACAAAGCATACCTCGGCCTTAAACAACTGAAGGAGAATGTCAAGTAGTAGTAGGTGGGAAAGTGGCTTTGATTTTCAGTTTGTGGGTTCTGAATCTACACAAAGACAGGATTGCATTCTGAAAACCTGAATTAATTATTGTCCTTACCTGAATGAGACAGAAAATGATGATTAAAATTGTTACAATTACAGTCACAGATACTGCCAGGATGAGTTTGTTGTTGAAGCCATATCCTGGAACTTTAGTGTGCTAAAAAAAAACAAACAATTTTTTTAAGAAAACAAAGAGATAGGATGAAAGCTAACTATTCAAAACCCCAGTATTCCAAGTGAGTAGCTTACAGGTTCTTTTTAATTTTTTTTGAGACAGGATTCCACTCTGTTGCTCAGGCTGGAGTACAGTGGTATGATCACGGTTCCCTGTAGACTTGACCTCCCTGGGCTCAGGTGATCCTCCCACCTTAGCTAGCCTCCTGAGTAGCTGCGACTACAGGCATGTGTTACCACACCTAGCTAATTTTTGTGTTTTTTTGTGGAGACAGGGTTTCACTATGTTGCCAAGCTGGTCTCAAACTCCTGACCTCGAGTGTTCCACCCACCTTAGCCTCCCACAGTGCTGGGATTACAAGCATGAGCCACCTGGCCAAAGTTACATGGCCAAGACAAGCTATGGCCTGTGAGTCCCAGGTTCTCTTGTGTTGGCACTTCCCTGACATATGCTAAATGATGGGAAAGTCCGGGTCTCACCTTTCTGTGTGATCCTCACCTCACTTAACCTCTGCTCTTTCTGTTCACTCTGGGCTTCCATGTTCTCGTTGATATAGTTCTCGGGTTTCCACTGGTCCGTATCCCATTCTGCCTTGGATGCCTTTACTTCTTGCCGTTCACTGAGAAGCTTCATCAGGAGGCCTGTCCTAGAGATGAGCTTAGCACAGGCTAATTGCACTTGGGTCTCAGAGCAGTCCATCTTCAAGGTCCGGATAACATGAGATATGAGCCCTCTCACGTTGTTGTCAGGGATGAGGGACCGTAGCTGCTGGTTTAGCTGCATTTCAAACTGATCACCTGGGGAGGAGAGCAATGGGTAATTGTTTTTGGGCTTGGGAAACAGGTCAGTGCCCAAGTCATTGTATTCCCATTTTATTTCATGGGTTTGTTTAACAGTTGGCTCAAGGTTGAACGCAGTTCCAGTGGAATCTGCCTCAGGAGGATTATTGTAGGTTGTGTCTTCAGAGATGGTGCCTTCTGGCATAGCAGTTTCAATGGAAGGAGCAAAAAGTTTTCGAAAATGATTTTCTTGAGATGAAGAAGCCCCTTCTGAAGGGGAATTTATGAGGCTCTTTGCTGCAGAGAACAGAGCCTTTAGACTGTTTTTGATCTCAAATTGGGCTTTTGCAGAGGTGGAGGCAGAGGGCCCGCCCATGGAGAAGGGTTTCAGCAAAGAGGAGACCCCTGTCTTATGCTCTTGGGTGAACAAAGGCTTGGTGTAGATGGTGTTTCCCACTAACTTCTCGGGCCTCTGCACCAGGTGAGGCTGTTCCACTTCCCTTGGGGCCGCACTCCCGGGCCTTTTTCCTTTGGCAGTGTTTTCCACAAATGCCTGGGCACTCTGTTCCCTCCTGATGCTCTGCTTTCCCACCTCTTTGAAGTGCCTTTTCTGGATGCGCCCTGGGCCCATGAGGACTCTGTTTGCTCTCTCCAGGCTTTTCCCTACACTTTGAATCTTTGCCAGGCTGTTTTCCTGTGGTTGGGCAGTTTCTAATTTGGTCCCCAAAATTGGACTTTTAAATTTGGGACCTAAAAGCCTGGACTGTACAAGCATGGCAGTTTTTTCTTCCATTTTAACCTCATCGATTTTTTCTTGAATTTTTGCATCCAACACATTTTCCAGAAAATACAGCTTTCTCAATTTATTTTTGTAAGTTGAGTTGTTGGATGCAGGTTGAAGAGAGGGGCTCTTTATATTGTTTTTCAAAATACCCAGGGGCCTGTCACCATCTTGCGAACCTGAAAAAAGCAGTTTAATAAACGGTAACAACATTGCCTCCCCATCGTCTAGATTTCCCGCCGAGAAATAACGCAAGATATAATTTAGTGCACTGATAACATCACTTTCATCATTGATGTCTAGCTGCTCACTCCCAAAGCCTGACAAGTTGATGCCATTGCTGTCTGAGGGTGTCTCTGGCTCAATAGTCAGTTCAGTGCTCGTGTGCTTCTTCCGGGATTGAAACACCTTCATGATCACTCCTTCGGGATTCCCTATAGATGCTTTTTCAAGACAATGTATGGTGTTTGTCAGACATGCACTGTTGCAATGCAGCTTGACTGTCTTGCAGGCAACCTCAATGCTATTTTTAAATTGGCAGAGGCAGCAGGCCATATGGCTAGGTAAGATCCTATGGATAAAAACACAGAACAATAAATTAATGGTGAAGGGGTTTCTTGAGTAGGTAAAGGAGCAGACCAATGCTACCGCAGGGCTGTGTAAAAAGGTGTTATTGAGGCCTATGGACTGGACAGTTGGGTAGGAACCAGAAGGCCACAGGAAGGAGGGCAGAGATGCACAACAGAAGGGTAAGCATGGCAGTGAGTATGGTATGCCTAGAATAAATGTGGTTGGGATTAGAACTGGGTGACACTGATCAGTAGTTTAATTCAGAAGTATCTCTTCCCAACTCAAAAATTTCGCTTTGGGCTGAAAGTCCACAGGAAGAAGGTAGACTTCTAAGAAGAGTCTGAATAAGCCCCCAACTTCTGTAGTCCCTTTCTCAATTCCTGTTGGGAGTGAAAAATTAATTAGACATTCTCTGGGCATTAAAAACAGCTTAGTCACTTTGGGAGGACGAGGTGGGTGGATCAAGAGAGGCGGGAGGTCAAGAGATCGAGACCATCCTGGTCAACATGGTGAAACCCCGCCTCTACTAAAAATACAAAAAATTAGCTGGGCGTGGTGGCGTGTGCCTGTAATCCCAGCTACTCAGGAGGCTGAGGCAGGAGAATTGCCTGAACCCAACAGGCAGTGGTGGCGTGTGCCTGTAATCCCAGCTACTCAGGAGGCTGAGGCAGGAGAATTGCCTGAACCCAACAGGCAGAAGTTGCGGTGAGCCGAGATCAGGCCATTGTACTGCAGCCTGGGTAACAAGAGGGAAACTCTGTCTTAGAAAAAAAGAAAAAAGAAATCAGCTTAGTTTAACATGTATTGTGGGGTAAAAAATAACAGAGATTTCATTGGCCAAATCTGGATGGACATTTGAGCATTCAGAAGAATAACAACAATAATAAGCTACAACATAACTAATATAAAGAAGAATCCATGAAGAATGGTATTCAAAAAGAAAGAGGGGGTGTTCTTCTTTAATGAAATAATGCCAGCTAGTAAATGCAGAAGGAATGACAAAATTTAAAAAAGTGTCACTCTGCACCCCAATGTAATAAAAATTGATTTAGACAAGGATTATTATTGATACACAGTTGGATAAAAAGTCACTTGCGAACAGGATCTTCACTGATTTCAAAGTACCTCCCCACAGATTATTTATTAATTACCAAGGGGAAAATTACTTTTTATTTATTTTTTATGAGACAAGGTTTCACTCTGCCACTCAGGCTGAAATATAGTGGCAAAATCATAGCTCATTGCAGCCTCGACCGGGCTTGAGTGATCCTCCAAATTCAGCACCCTGAATAGCTGGGACTATAGGCTTGTACCACCACACCCAGTGAATTTTCTTTTGTATTTTTAGTAGAGACGGGGTTTTACCTTGTTGTTCAGGCTGGTCTAGAACTCCTGGACTCAAGTGATCTGCCCACCTCAGCCTTCCAAAGTGCTGGGATTCAAGTGTTAGCCACTGCACCTAGCAAAATAACTACAATGAAGAGATCTGGAAGATCACCTTAATCAAGTGATCAAACTTAGCATTATGGGCCACCTGTGGTCACGAGGCAGGAAGGATGTATCACCTATGCAGTATTCTTCCCAAAAATGCTTAACTTGAATCTCATCGTGAGGAAACAGACAAATCCAGATTGTGGGACAATTTACAAGACAGCTATATTTGACTCTTAAGAAATGTAAGTATCATGAAAGATAAAAAAGAAAAAGTAATGTTTTAGATTAAAGGAAATGAAGACATGACATGTAGTGCCTGATCTTTGATTGGATTCTGTACTGTTCTTTCATCTTTATGGTATGTTTGAGTTTTTTTTAAAATATAAATTTGGGCAAAGAGATACCAAGATAATTGATTATTGTTATGGCTTATTGGGGGCAGTTTTAGAGAGATAAAAACAACCTCTGTTATCTGGAGTAAATCTCAAGGTTAATCTTAAGCAGTATAGCATGGTCATTAAGAATACAGATTCCACAGCCAGACTAGGCTTAAATCCCAGCTCCACTAATAATGTGAATTTGGGCAAACTGCTTAATCTCTGTTCCTTGGCCTTGTCATCATAGTACCTACCTCTCATGAGTTTTGAGGATTAAATGAATCAATACCTGAAAAATGCCTGGCACACAGTGAGTGCTCAATAAATGTTAACTACTGTAATTATTACATTGCAGAGGCTGTGGGGCCCTTTTCTGGGTCCTTCAAAATGATGACTTTATCAGGACCTCATTAAAACTGTGAAAACAGAGGAGTGTTTCATGGATATATGAAGTCTATGAGTTGGGAGTACAACACACACACACATATATATATATATATATATATTTTTTTTTTTTTACTATCTCCAGTAATGGGTATAAGGAAACGTATAGAATTTTATATTAAAACTGCATCCAGTAAGCTGGCCTGACACAGCTTTCAAACTTATAGAGAAATAACCACTAGTGACTAGTAGTGTTCCTTTGGGTCCAGTGGAAGCCTTTGATCTTCATATAGAAAGAATGGACCCAGAACCATAACCTAGCGTTTTACTTATATAGCAACCTTAACTCTGACACAAAGGTGTTTCTTTTGTTTGTTTTGAGGCAGGGTTTCACTCTGTTACACCGGCTGAGTGCAGTGGTGCAATCTCAGCTCACTGCAGCCTCTGCCTCCTGGGCTCAAGTGATCCTCCCACCTGAGCCTCCTGAGTAGCTAGAACTACAGGTGTGTGCCACCATGCCCGGCTAATTTTTGTATTTCTTGTAGAGATGGGGTTTCACCATGTTGCCCAGGCTGGTCTCAAACTCCTAAGCTCAAGCAACCCTCTTTCCTTGGCCTCCCAAAGTGCTGGGATTACAGGCATGAACCCAAAGTTTTTGTTCTTATTTTCATACCTTCAACTTCTTATTTTAAACATTTTCTTTTTTTCATTTAAGCCTTAGGATGGCTGGGAAACATTTTCAAATGGTGTGATGAACACCTGTATAACTTCCATCTGGAATCAACAGTTGCTTTTTCCTTGCTTTTTTTTTTTAAATTTCCCACCTAACACCAACAGTTGCTAATACTTTGCCACATTTGCTTTCCATGTATGTATGTCTACACATTTTTCTGGACAAAACATTTGAGAGTTAGTTGCAGATATAATGAGCCTTCACCACTAAATAATTCAGTGTGCAGCCCCTAAGAACCAAGGCATTCTCCTCCATAACCAGAATACTATTATCACCCAATGAAACTTAATATTATCATTGCCTACTATGAAGTCCATTTACAAATTTTCACAACTGTCCCAATCATATCATGGCTTAAAAAAACTCAGAATCCAATCAAACATCAGACATTGCATTTAGTTTTCATGGTTCTTTAGTCTCCTTAACTGTTCCCAGAACTGTTTTAAAGTATATTGACAAATCTTTGAGACTGTAAATGACCTGAGGTATAGATTATTCTTACTTGAGAATAGTAATTTTCCAATATGCATTAAAGATCATTACACATGAGCCAAGACTCAAATGAGCTGGCCCACTTCCTTTGTATATAAATGTGTCAACTCCTGAAGACTCCCAATAATGAACTACAATAGGGCAGTTAGTTCAATGTCTTTCGGGTCTTGATGACAAATGGTTACAGAGAATAGGAGCACTTTTCTTATCCACTAATGGTAAAGAAGAAAGCAGACAGAACCTCACTATATTAGAGAACTAAGTAAGAAAGCTGGTTGATGAAGAGGACTTCATCCAGAGAGGAAGGGATCTAGCTGACATGGAAGATGCTGCAGGAGGCTGAGGAAAATGAGGCTAGAGCAATAAAACAGATTTGACAATGTGGTCAAGATAACAAAGTGACCTGACAAAAATGAATGCAGCAGTGCTAAATGAAGGGCCCATTCCATGCTAATCTTGTATAATGCGCTCAACTAGCCTTAGCACATCTGACTTTCTATTTAGCTTGCCATATTGTGTGTTGGGGCATGGGTGGCACAATTTAAGTTGCAGTAAGTTATGTAACAAACTCACAATAGGGCCCTGCAGATATATACAGGATCATGCTCTGTCACCCACGCTGGAGTGCAGTGGTGCCATCTTGGCTCACTGCAACCTCCACCTTCTGGGTTTAAATGATCCTTCCACCTCAGCCTTCCTGGTAGCTGGGACTTACAGGTGTATGCCACCACACCTAGCTGGTGTGTGTGTGTGTGTGTGTGTGTATGTATATATAATTTTAACTGCAAAGAAGGCCAGGCACAGTGGCTCATGCCTGTAATTCCAGCATTCTAGGAGGGTGAGGCAGGAGGATCATTTGAGGTCAGGAGTTTGAGACCAGCTTGGGCAACATAGACCTTGTTTCTACTAAAAATAAAAAATAAAATTGAAAAAAATAAATAAATACCTCACATCATATATGCAAATTAACTCAAAATGGATCATAGACCTAAATGTAACTATACTATTTCTGGGAGAAGACATAAAAGAAAATCTTTTTGGCTTTGGATTAGACAACAGGTTCTTAAAGATTTCTTAGGTAAGGAAAAAGCACAAGCAATGTAAGAAAAAATTGCTAACTTAAAGCTTATAAAAATTAAAAACTTCTGCTCTTCAGAAAACACTTTTATTTTTATTATTTATTTTTCATTTTGAGACAGAGTCACACTCTGTTGCCCAGGCTTGAGTGCAGTGGTGCAATCTCAGCTCACTGCAACCTCCACCTCCCAGGTTTAAGCATTTCTCATGCCTCAGTCTCCTGAGTAGCTGGGATTACAGGTGCCTGCCACCACTAATTTGTGTATTTTTAGTAGAGATGGGATTTTGCCATGTTGCCCGGGCTGGTCTCGAACCCCTGACCTCAGATGATCCACCAGCCTTGGCCTCCCAAAGTGCTGGGATTACAGGCGTGAGTCACTGTGCCCAGCCAGAAAACACTTTTAACAGAATGAAACGACAAACCACAATCTGAGAGAAGATATTTACTAAACACATATCTAAAAGGCCTTTTTTTTAAAAAAAATTTTATTTACTTATTTAATTGTTGATACAGCATCTCACTCTGTGATCCAGGCTGGTGTGCAGTGGTGACCATGGCTCACTGCAGCCTTGACCTCCCAGGCTCAAGCAATCCCAAAGTGCTGGGACCACAGGTGTGCACCACCATACCTGGATTGTTTTTATAGTTTTGGTAGAGATGAGGTTTCACCATATTGCCCAGGTTGTCTCAAACACCTGGCCTGAAGCAATCCTCCTGCCTCAGCCTCCCAATGTGCTGGGATTATAGGCGTGAGCCACTACTCCTGGTCCCTGAAAGTACTTGTATCTAGAGTCTATAAAGCACTCTTAAAACTCAATAATAAATAATCTCTCATGGAGGGGAAAAAAAACCTCATTAATAAAAAGATTAATATTCAATTAAAATATGGGAATAGATTTGAACAATTTAGTAAAGAAGATATTTGCACATGAACAGACATTCAACATCACTAGCTATTAAAGAAATGCAAATTAAAACCACAATGAGATTCCACTACACATCTAGCAGTAGAAGGGCAAACATTTCTTTAAAAACTGAAATACAAGAATCTGCTGGGCCGGGCCAGGCATGGTGGCTCATTCATGTAATTCCAGCACTTTGGGAGGACAAGGTGGGTGGATCATGTGAGGCCAGGAGTTTGAGACCAGCCTGGCCAGCAAGCTGAAACCCTGCCTCTACTAAAAATACAAATACTAGCTGGGCGTGGTGGTGGGCTCCTGTAATCCCAGTAACTTAGGAGGCTGAGGGAGGAGAATCCTTTGAACCTGGGAGGGGGACATTGCAGTGAGCTGAGATCCTGCAGCTGCACTCCTGCTTTGGCAATTAAAAAATTAAAAAAAAAAAATCAGCTGGGCCGGGCATAGTGGCTCACCCCTCCCAGCACTTTGGGAGGCCAAGGTGGGTGTATCACTTGAAGTCAGAAGTTCAAGACCAGCCTGGCCAATATGGTGAAACCCCATCTCTACTAGAAATACAAAAATTAGCTAGGTGTGGTGGTGGGTGCCTACCCACTTGGGGGGCTGAGGAAGGAGAATTGTTTGAACTCAGGGGGTGGAGGTTGCAGTGAGCCAAGATAGTGCCACTGCACTCTAGCCTGGGGATAGAGCAAGACTGTGTCGAAGAAAAAAAAAAAGAATCTGCTAAAGTTATGGAACAACTGCAACACTCACAACGCTGGTGGAAATGTAAAATGGCACAGACACTTTAGGAAACAGTTTAGCAGTTTCTTAAAAAGTTAAATATGCACTTAGCATGTGAACAATCCAACCCCTAGGTATTTACCCAAAAGAAATGAAAACATAGGTTCACACACAAAGACCTGTATATGAGTGTTTTTTAGCAGTTTTATTCATAATTGCCAAAAATTGAAAACAATCCAAATGTCCATACATTGATGAATGGATAAACAAATGGATACATCCACACAACTGGAATACTACTGAGCAATGAAAAGGAGTGAACAGTTGTCCCTCGGTGTCTGCAGGGGATTGGCTCCAGGACCACCTGCAGATACCAAAGTCCACAGAGGCTGAAGTCTTTTATATGAAATAACATAGTATTTGTATATAGCCTTGGGTATACTTTAAATACCTAATACAGTATAAATGGTATGTAAATAATTATACCGTATTTTAAAATTTCTACTGTTTTTATTATTTTATACATTTTACTTTTTCCAAATACTCTCCATCCATGGTTAGTTGAATCCATGGATGAGGAACCTGCAGATATGGAGGGCCAGCTGTACTGATAGGTGCAACAATATGGACGGTAGCATAATCTCCAAAAAAAATTATGCTAAGTGGAGGCAGGTACGGTGCCTCATGCCTGTAATCCCAGCAGTTTGGAAGGCTGAGGTGGGTGGATCACTTCAGGTCAGGAGTTCGAAACCAGCATGGCCAACATGGTGAAATCTCGTCTCACTAAAAATACGAAAAATTAGCCAGGCATGGTGGCAGGTGCTGTAATCTCAGCCGCTACTCAGGAGGCTGAGACAGGAGAATTGCTTGAACCTGGGAGGTAGAGGTTGCAGTGAGCTGACGTCACATGGCTGCACTGCAGCCTGGGTGACAGAGTGAAACTCTGTCTCAAAAAAAAATTATGCTAAGTAAAAGAAGCCAGATACAATAGGCTACATGCTGTATGATTTCATTTATAAGACATTCTGGAAAAGGCAAAACTATAGGAATAGAAATCAGATTAGTAGCTAACCATTAGGGCTGATGGTGGGAGGAGGGCATTGACTACAAAGGGACACCAGGGGGCCTTTTTGAGGTGAGAGAAATGCTTTATATTGGGGAATTGTGGTGGTGGTTATGTCAATATACATTTGTCAAAACTCATCGAACTGTACACTTAAAAAGGGTGAATTTTGTTATATGAACAATCATATCTCAATAAACCTGACTTAAGAAAATACTAAAAACAGCCGGGCGTGGTGGCGCGTGCCTGTAGTCCCAGCTACTCGGGAGGCTGAGGTAGGAGGATTGCTTGAGCCCAGGAGTTCTGGGCTGTAGTGAGCTAATGCTGATTGGGTGTCTGCACTAAGTTTGGCATCAATATGGCGACCTCCTGGGGGCGCGGGACCACCAGGTTGCCTAAGGAGGGGTGAACGGCCCAGGTCGGAAAAGGAGCAGGTCAAAACTCCCATGCTGATCAGTAGTGGGATCATGCCTGTGAATAGCCACTGCACTCCAGCCTGGGCAACACAGCGAGACCCCGTCTCTAAAAAAAAAAAAACAAAACTAAAACCAACCTAAAGAACCAATTAAGTGAAAATAAATCTAAGAAAAAAATAACTTACAGTTTTTCCAATTCAAGAGTCATCATGAGGATGTTCTTAACTGCTGTAAGCGGAACTTGTGTTTTTCCCATGTCTCTGAAGAGGAAAATCGAAACATTCGTGATATAAATGCCGATACAAAAATTCTGTACTTAAAAAAGATATTTCAAGGATGTGATGACTTCAATTTTGGCTTTTCTATAAAACAAGCCAACTCAAGAGTTTATTTGCTGCAGAATTCCAGAGAGCTCTTATTAAAGAAATTTAAGTTGATTTTCATCATCAAATTAATGATATTCACAGAGTAGAACTTGTACTTTTTTTTTTTAACCATTAGCTTACTTCTCATTTTCATATTGGATTCACTCATCTTGATTATTTACTTTTTTTCTTCCTTTTTAGAATAATGAACACCTATTCCTCCTTCCTCTCTTAGTTAAGTATATTCCTCCATGTGTCTGCATGTTCCAAATCCGTATGGGTTCTTCAACACTGTCCTCTTCCCCTGCTGGCTGTCTTGACCACTATATATCCTTTCTTAATCCTTTCTTTGCCAATAACTTTTTTTTAATAACCCAGTTAAATTTAAATTATGACTTTTTAGCCTAAATGCAAATATTTAATCATTGATGAAAAACTAAAAAAGAACATAAATCTTTCATGACTCATGAGAGTACTGTAATACTCACAGATATTTTAATGCTGGCAATTTAAACAAATATGGATCTTCGACAGTTGTCAGAGGATTGCGACTGAGAATTCTGAAAAGAGCAAGGAATTAAAATTACCTGCATTTTCAATGTGTGAAACTGCATAAAAGTTTATATTCATTTTTTGGTATGGAACTTGTAGGTAAAAAAATCTTTTCTGTTTTTGCCCAATAAATCACCATTAGACTCCATAAAGCACTATTCCTCTGGGAACTACCTAGGTCTCTAGAAGATAAAGCAGAGGAGAGAAAGAGGGGGAAACATAGAAAAAACAAAATGTGGGAAAAAAAAAAATAAGCCACAGAACTTTTCAGGTCAAAAACCCCAGAAGTGACTCTGCTGGTAGGAAGCCCTGACTCCGTAGGAAACAAGTTTCTAATGTCCCCCATAATTCAAGTTGCTTTTTTTTTAAAAAAAATAAAGTCTTGCTCTGTCACCCAAGCTGGAGAACAATGGCTGGATCTC